TGTTCCAGGCAACCAGGGATCCTGATCTGTGGAGATGCATGAGCGCCTACGCCAGTTGGCAGAGCACATCACTGTGTGCCATATTAACAATTAATTTTGGTTGCAACTGACCCATCTCCAGCTCTCTTGGTGTCTCGCCCTAGTTGTACACCCTCACTAGCAAGGTTGGCAAAACAGTGTTGTTTGTCTATCTCTTCATATTATCATCCCACTTGTATCATTTATCTACCTCTTGTCTGCCTGCAATAAACGTTTCTTTTCAATATGGTTTTTATGTTATGAGTTCAGGCACTCCTGACACATCCATATTTTTTTATTTATCATCATCAACATCATCACTTTTGCGGTTAAGCAGCATGGGGAGGAACGGTTTGTCACCCATTGCTTGACTGAAGCAATGCTATTGATATGTTTTGTTTGTTACGTATTTTAATGTGACCAAAATATTTCACTGGTCTGTGTTCTACTTCTTTCAACAAACATGTTTTCATCTCTTTCATTCAGTCAGTTACACTTATTTCAATAAAAATAAGCAGTGGTGCTCAACGTATAATCCATGCAATATTAAATAGCCACAATTTTCAGACCAGTTTTTAATACCCAGTGAGAAAAAAATAAATCTGGATATCCCAGATAATAAACAAAAAGGGTGGAACTGGATACTGATGATTAACTAATACTACTGCTACTACTACCACCACCACCACCACCACTATTATTAATACAACAATTAATACTAACTACTACTGCTAATACTACTACTACTACTACTGCTGTTACTAGTACTAATACTACTGCTGCTGCTGATACTACTATACTACTACTACTTTTACTATTACTACTACTACTAATACTGCTACTAATACTACTACTACGATGGTACAATGTGTTATTACAATACCTAACATCAATGTGATCTTCCTGGAATATTACAGAGAACTACACCATGAGCAGATTAAGAGGACAATCTTTCCTGAAATAGAACAGAGAGCTGCGCCCTTGGACAGACTAAAATAATTTGCCATCAACGAGAGAGAAAAAAAGCAAGTTCTCTTAATCACACAGCATTAATTAGTACACACACTTGTCTCTTGCTAAAGAAGTCTTCAACTGTGCGGTACTGTACACACTCATCCTGCTATATTTATAAAGTTTACACTCCTATGTTGACAGTTGTGGAAAGTGGGGGTGAGGTTGAAGCTTTGAAAATCCTGACGCTCTCTCTTATCTCTCTCCTGATTCTATATGCAATTTTTAATCAGGATACGCAGAGTTGAAAACCGAAATAATTGATCTTTTCCTTGTGGTTTCCTTATTTTCCCAGAAAAAAAAAGACAGAACGGATCTGATCTGACCCCGTTCCGGGTACCTAATAAATAGGTCGGGACTGTCGTTTTTTGATAAGGAGTGCCTGGGTTCATGCTCACCGTAAACGCAGACGTGTATTCAGTGGCGTAGTCCTGGTGGGGCTCCGGCCCTAGACGCTCGTTTATCATAGTTTATGTAACCAGGGCACGGCTGGCTAATGCACACAGTGACAATACAAATGTACTATTCCAATTTACATGGTGTCTGTTGGTGGTAGGCGTTGTTTATGTTGGACATATTATGTTTGAATGTGTATTTCTGTGTGTATGTCTGTCTGTTATACCTTTTCTGAGTGTTGATCTATGCGAGTATTGTAAAAGTTATACCTATATACCCACCTGTTTAAAAATTCGGCAATTAACAATAGACAAACTCTTTACGCACCTTAACGATTAAGGTTTCTACGGGTAGTATTTATTTTAATGTGCCTGTGCAATTATCCCCAAAAGCGTTCCAGTCTCCTCGTATAGACAACAGAAGAAGGGCCTTAGCAAAGTGTTTAAACCCCTTATCACCGGCAAGGATCTGACAGATCTATGGCGAGGATATTCCATAATCCTACGTGCTAGCAATATGTTAAAAATACCCTTACTGTTGGTGAGTTTTCTTGGAAATTTAGGCAGTGCTGCAGAATAGGCCAGTAGTCATTTTTTCCACTTCAGGTTATGAACTATATATAGCTTGTACACAAGCCCTAAGAAGTCTGTATTGGTCTTTTTCAGAATAGCTCAAATGCTGCATTCATTATCGAGTGAACGGGGAAGCGAAAAAAGATGGACACAATCCTTTGTTTATTTGTGATAATCCATCTAGTCCAACCGGACCACGAAACAAACCCGACCTGCACGAGTGCACGGGCGAGGAATTGCATCTTGCCTGAGTCCCAGCGTAGCAAGATCACTGACTGGACAATGATGTGCGGGCCACTTGCTAGATCTTATTGGGCCTCCAGTTTAATACCCCTAGCGTATGTCTTTGTGTTGTTTTATAGGCGAATGATAAGAATACCCTGGACAGATAAAAAGAGTAATGAGGATGTCTTGAAAGAAACTGACTCACGAAGATAACTGATTGCCCACATCAGAAAGAGACAATCTACATTCTTTGGCCATGTAATGAGGAGAAAACTGGAGTACATCGTGACAGTAGGAAAGTTGTGTAACAGGCTCATGGCAGTCCTTGTAAATTTGGTTTGATTACACTTGCGGAAACACCTGGCATCTCAGGGAGTCACAGTGTCTATAAAAAGACCGAGGCGCCCGTGAAACGGCTATATTTCCTTTTGTCCTTTTTAGGACGAAATTTTTTGTTATTTGAAGCCCCACCCTGGCTTTTGCCCGGGGCCGCAATATAGGCAGGCCAAAAATATGGCCAATTGTCTGAACGCGGTTTCTGGGACCTCTCCACGGTGATCCTCATCCACATGGTGGCACTTTGTGTCATCGGGTGTTTGTCGCTTGTGTGATGTCCTGGTGGGGTAGAAACTCAGTCAGTCAGTCAAACGGCTATTTGGCTTTTTCGCCCTCCGACCTCGCCAGCCGCGCCGCGGACACCGCTGATGAGTAGAGGGGGTGGAGTGGCTACTTCATGGTTTCGGTACTTTTCACTGGTTAGTTTCGGGGCTAGACCTAGGTTTCCATCAGTAGTTAAACTGTGTAGACCTAGATTATCAGTGTGTATCCTCGCTCGGAGATAGTTTGATTGTAGGTTGCTATAGGCTATTTATTGATCTGGTGTTATGTTGAAGCCTAAAGTACATGTTAAAATGTTTCGATTTTTTTCCATCACTGATGTAATATTTCTGAACGTATGCGTTCATTATTCTATCTCTTTGTAGTGGAGTGAGTAGCACATGGTCTGGTCGAGCACGTGAATGGTTGTTACTGTATTGTTATTTGTGAACCATGTGAGTTTTGTGTTCAGATAAAATCAACAGACGTTTAATGTGATAATTATAGTGATATAGTGCCAGCTGTTTGATTCAGATAAGGACTTGTAGTTAATGTACCTAGTTTTACTGTTACTTTTTTTTGGTTGTTTATTTTTCATTTGTTTATTACGGATGCAGCGTGAGTGTGAGTTTACTTGGTGGAGCTCTTGTAGACTGGGAGTAGAGTTAGGTTCATTGAGTGGATTTTAAAATTATTCTTCATATTATCTTCTCCCTCTTCCTCTTCTACGAGATCCCCCTTGGGCTTTGCTTCTAGTACACTTAGAAGGGAGGAAAGGCAAAGGGAGACCGAGAGAAAAGATGCTGGGCAGTTTGACGTTATGGCATGGAGGGTCATCTGTATAAGAGTTTTTTTAAATTATAGGAGGAGTAAGTTTGTGGATAGACAACACTACCAGCGTCACACGGCATGGTCTTTAAGAAGAAGAAGGCTTCGTTCATGCATCAACACACCTGGTCATTTGTGTTATAGATCTGTGTTCTTCGGCCACTTGGCCACGAGAAAGCCTAGGCGGGCCGCACAAAAATATCTGCCTAATCATATACCAGGATAGAGTAAGCAGTTTTGGTACTACTCACAAAAGCCACACATATTTCATCGGCAGCGAGATTTCATAGCGGTTCCCACAGGCTGTCATATGTTATAGTGGTGTTATGATATGTCTTTCTTCGTTTTCTATAAACAGCGTGCTGAAGTTCGTTGGACGAGGTTGACACATTGCCTCCCAGATAAAAGCGCGCAGCTTTCTTTTCGCAACTCTAACCTGTGAACGACTGTTGTTTCTAGAATTTTTATTGTTTTGAGTAGGTCTCAGGCGCCACAGGCACCTGTGTGCAAGGAATAAGTATTGCAGGAGCAAGCGCCGAAGACGCAACGGTTCGTGGGTATCGAATCATTGATTTGGGGGGGGGGGGGTTTTTTTTACGCTGGTTGGTGGTTATTGATGTAGGTGATGATGTTCTTAAAACGTTCAAAATGAGCAACACCAATCCCCGAAACCACAACAACCGTATAAACAGTTATAATCCCCCCACCTCCCCTTGTTTTGATGGGCCTTGCGTATAAACGTGTTGAGGAACGCTGATGTAGATCACACCGGCTCCATCTACGAGGACACTCATGGCGATGTCTACAACCTCAAGTTGATTCTGCTTTCTTTAAATGTGTTCACACTGATACTCGGAGGTGGGCGAAAATTAAGGAGAAACAGGAGGTGTTAAAGATGCCGAAGAAGGTCAATTCTATTCACCAGCGCCACTGTTATCTTGCATTTTTTTTTTTTTTTTTGCGCTTGTTGCCTCTGTCACTTCTATCGATGATTTTTGAAAGCGTTGTAGTGTTTTAAAATACAACCCCCCCCCCCCCCCCAACCACCACCTCCCTCCCCCATCCCCAACACGCGATCAAACAATGCTTCCATCTTATTATGGTTGTATATAATGTTCTACTCTGCTCGACGTTCCTAAAGAATTGTGGCTGCCAAAATCCGGGGAAATCCCTGACTATCGATGTGAAACTGGTATTTCTGTCACAGTCAAGAAATCTTGCGCAGATGATGAAACCATACGTCCATCCTTGTCCAATGGCCTCATTTATAATGCAGGCGCTATCAGCACAACAGGGGTCAGTGTTCAGCATTTCTTCATATGACATAGTCATTTAAAAACATTCATATTATTTATGTGGGAGTCACCGTGGCTCGCCTGTGGATCGCAAGGTCGTGGGTTCACTCACCAGCGGAGCCGGAATTTTTTCAAAAGGACCTTGTCTCCCAGGTCGACCCAGCCTTGAGTGGGTACCGGGTGCAGTCATGGGAAGTAAAAGCGACCGGCGTGATGCTGACCACATCACCCATCTTGTGCCGTTGGTCTATAAAATATAGGTCTAGCCCTATATACCTAATACATCTGAAGGGCGTGGAAAAAGGTCCTTTACTTTTACTTACATATTTACTTACATTTATGTGCCCACTCCACCCCCCGGAGTTCTATTTTTTACCATATTGATTAACTGTTCGTAAGATTTTTTTTTTTTTTTGCCCATTGCTTGCTTTTATATTAGTTAATTAGTCTTTCCTCTTGTGTCGAGTGCGGCACATAGTGCAGAGGTCATGACTCTCCATGCATGACGGTTCGTTGCAATCTGTTGTAGGTCTTGGATGTTTGAGTGGCCCATGAGCGAGCCTTCCCTGATGATAGTTCTACGTAGGGTTTCCCTTGGTCTTCCACGAGATCTTTTCCCCTGTGGTGTCCAAATGAGGGCTTGTAGTGTTTTAGTTATTTGTCTACAGTTATTGTTCCTTCTGTTCTCTACACTTTTCCTTGTGCTAGATGTTATACGATAGTCGCAATTCCAATTTCACGACATTCGGATCACCGTATAGATGCCCAGTTATGTGCCAGAAAAATCCACATAAAATACCTATCACGTTCACTTGTAAAATTACAAAATGTAAACGAACTGCATTCATGCAAATCTAACAGCATATACATGTATTATGCAACTACCAGACGTGAAAACGCCAACAGTCTGTCGCTATATTTGCAGTTCATCGTCGATAGAGACAGCAGTTGCACAAGGAACCATTATTTCTTTGGCAACATGCCATCAACATTTTCTTCTTGGGTGTTTCATAGGAGCAGATGTGACAGTTTTAGGAGTCTATATGTATAGCGATAAAAGCAATCCATGACCCACCCTTTATTTAAAAAAAAAATGTATTTGAGTAGACAGAAGGAAAAAAAAAAGACTAATGCGAGAAAGTTAAAATGCGTCACGAGGAGTTAACACTACACTAAAATATGTATGTGTGGGTGCGTGTGGGTGGGTGTGGGTGTGTATTCGAGCAGATAGACTGTCACTACTGTTCTTAATTTATACTTTTTTTTAGGGCAGACTAGACGGGTTTGGCAGGGGCGGGAGGGGAGAGAGAGAGAGGGAAGGGGGGGGGGTCGTAAGCCTGAGGATTTAGGGCAGCATGGCTAGCGCTGTCGCCATGGACTGTGCATGTTAAGATGTGCGATAGACTGAGCCTCATGTTCCAGGCTGTGTGGAGTTGGTCATCATGTGTTTCCCTAGTCTTCTGCGTGTGTAATGACAGTCACTTCTGAAATCGAAATCCCTAGAAAGGTTTAAAAAAATGCTTACTAGTTTTTTTTTCTCGGTTAAGGGGGGGGGGGGGGGGGGGGGGGTAGAAAGTAACTGAACTGGAAGCACAAGCTATTTAAACAAAATCCAGGACTGGCTAAGTCATTCAGTCTAGCACAATTATATAACAAAGATAAGGTTTATCTATGTCGGCAGGTCCTGTTTGCTCAACTAAAATCAAAGTACAAACACCAGATTACCAACTGACTGTGCACATAAAATGAACGGATTTACCGCGGGGGAGTTGATATTCTAATGCACACACTTTCGGGTCAATGACTTTCATTGAACAAATAGGAAACTCGGCGTGTCATGTTCTCCTATGATGTTTTACAAAGGCGCAACTCAGTTGCACACTTTTTAGACAAACACAGTCTCAGGACACAGTAATTCAATCTACTGGCAAATCAGAGGTTAACGTTTAACACTGCGTGTCAATCGTTCAGGTAAAGGTAAAGTTGGGAAATGTGAACCAGCGTCATTGCACACAGTTATAAACCATAAGTGCTCTGCCACCAGTAGGAACAGCTGCTAAGAAACTGTCCGCCTGTGTCGCCGTCCGCACGCAACTCCGTATCTACATCGACGTTCCTCCATTTACCCCGGGTAGCCTTGGGCTGCAGCGAGTCGCAGCTGGATTTGAAAGCGAGTCTCCTTTCGACTGCGCTAACGCGGCACCTAAAGTTGTCAGTAGAGGGATTTGAACCCACACCCACATTTATGGACCAGAACGCTCGACCCTGTGAAGCAGGGAAGGTTACAATCCTTGAGTCTGGCGCCTTAGACCACTCGGCCATCCTGACATAATTGGCACAAGCGATACAGTAGACTGCAATTTAGCCAGAATATAAGATATAAAACTGCAAATATTTAATCCTATGCAATGAATGAATTAATCAAGAATTAACATAACTACACTCAGGACATTCTCAAACGTGCTCCGTTTAGGACTGCAGTCCTATTCCAGAACCGGAGTGATGCGTGTGCATCCGTTTGACAGATCTGACATTAGAGTGTAGACTGTTGGTTCCTTGCCTCTCAGGCAGATGCACTCCGACTTCGAAGGAAGCTTCCAATTAGTCGACTCTTTCGACATGCTTTTGGGCAGGCAGTGGGTCTATTCTTGTTGTCCCTTTAATAGGGCACCGGAACCCACACGGCGGTATATGTATATATATATATATATTCACAGGTGGTATGTGCATTTCCCGACTCCTTTTATAAATGGATTATCGCTCTAGTTTGAAAAGTTTTGATCTTTTCCCTCAAATATCTGGAGCTATCTGCTCATACTACTTTTTTACAATGGAAAATACAGGTGAAAAAATAAGTATAGCAAACACTGTGTCTATGTACGCTACAGACATTGTGGCGAAAGCCCTGAAAATGTTATATGACGATCCTCTCATTTGAGGACAATTGTCAGCTATCAACATCTCTGGTCTTGAAGAGACGGGAAAAACTCTTTTAATTGCTGTGAAATAAGCTCGCATCCCAGTTACCAGATGAAACAATATAGCCCAATAACTGCAGCTGAAGATAAGACCAGTGCGGTTATGAGAATCCCCTAGTGCTGTAATGTAGGCTATTAACTCCACTCAACGCACATATTGACGAACTTCACAGCTCAACAATTTAAGGAATAGCTCACACTGGTAAGCGAGCCGAAGTAACTGACAGCCACACAAAACTGTACACTGTTAAAAGATGCCCAACTTTTAAAAAAGAGGTGATTCGCAAACACAACAATATCCTCACACAAGGCAAGAGGGAGAGTGTATTCAGACGGCAACTGGTACCATTATAATTAAAACCTGGCTGACTGCTGAAGATGTGAATAAAGTGCTTCTGTTTATAACTTAACTCAACAGTTGAAATCACTGCTTGACAGGATAAACTAAATACTAACTAATGAAACAGAAGATAGAGAAAAATTAGCGCTGTCTGTTTATGAGCCAAACGTGTCAAGTGATTTGTAACCACACAACCCGCAACACTTAACAGATGCTAAAATTCGTGAGTGGTTGTTAGATGCTTTAAGTCAGGACACACCAACAGGTCATAATTTCACACGCTAAAAATGTTTTTTTACAAGACTTACTTGGGGAAAAGCTGGGGGCGGGGGGTGCGTCCAAGTCGTTGATAAAAAAGAGAGAGATCTGGGAGAAATGAATCTGTACAGTATGGAATGAGAGGCACACCCGGCTATGAGAAGTCTTGTCAACCAGCGTATCCTTAGTACTGCCAGGATATCCAAAATATTAACTGATGATACAAAAGATAGAAATATCCGCGTTTGTAATAGGAGCAACTTTATCAACGATGTTCTACTCACCATTTTTTTCTAAAATCTATGCCAGAAATAGGAGAGCGCTATTTGCTGGAGTGTAGGAAATAAGAGAACCAAAGAAAACTGTACACTGACTATATGAATGTATGTAAATTACATATGACGATGTTGCACATAAACAGCCACAGAGAACTGCTTGGCAGGGTCAAGCAATTTATTACTAGAACTAAAATTCATACACAGAAGGGTAAAGAATACACATGTCATCTATGAAGAAGTTGTCCTAAAGATAAATCGAGAAGAATAATTAGCTATTACACTAAGGAAATAATAAATCCAATATGTTAATGACACAATGTTAGTCATCATCATCACCATCAAAATTCACTTCTGCAGTTAAGCGTTGTGGTATGTTAGTTAAATTGTCTCATTATTCTGAGTACAGCTTCTGTGTCATAGCTACAGCCCAAATCAAAGCAATATTGGTAACAGTACAAATTACATATCGGTCATATAAATAATTACGCAACATATACATATAAAACAACAAGTATGTACCCTGAGAACTCAATTAACACTATATATCCCAATTATAACCCTGAGGGTTGAACGGGGTATTTTTGAAATATGGCTACTACTACTACATGAGAACAACAGGCTACAAGGCAAGAGAGGTCGACCAGAAAGAAATGGCTGGAGGGAGTTAAAGAGACTATAGCAAAACACACTATGACATTGACACAAGTTACGCATAGCAAAAGACAGGAAACTACACCTAACTACACTCTGCAACGCTTTGCGACAAAAGCAATAGGACAAAAGAAGAAGCAGATTGTTAGTTGCAACGTTTGTATTTAATGGGGAGCTGAATGGTCGTAAACAACAAGGCAGACCAAGAAGACGATGGACAGATAATATCCAGACACATATTCAAACACTTGGTGTCACTAACTGGAAAAAGAAGACCAAACAGAGAGATGAATAGAGGAAGGCCATGAACCTCGAGGGCTCGGAATTCTGAAGAAGACGAAGAAGAGGAAGAAGAAGAGGAATTGTATTTATAATCCGATCCAACTTTACAGAGGGCGATCAAGATGGCGGCGTCCTGGTCACGGATGCAGGTTGTGTATCGCAAGTATGGTCTAAAGTTATACCGGCTAAATTCAACCCGCTTCTGGCGTCACTTATGTTTATCTACGGCTAGTTTGAACGACACTGTAAGTGCATAAGTTTCTGAGAGTTAGCATTGTGAAAAACTTTGCTAATTATTGTGTTTCATTAAAAAAGTAGGCTCTCCCGAGTGTAAACTACGGCCGGTAGACAACAGTAGACGACCGGTTAGTTGGAGTTCTGGCCCTTGGCTACAGTGCAATTACGGAGTGGAAAAGGCACGAATCACAACAAAGTGACGTCGACATGGCTTGCAGACCCCGCGCTGCAACTCAAATTAGAGATTGCGTTCAATTACCCCTTCTTGCGACGCATTACGGAGTGGAATAGAGGGAACGAAACAAGTGACATAATTACTGTGTGTTGGCGATAGACAGCGTGCAATGCCCTACTGTCATCATATGGTTAGGGTTTGGGTTAGGGGTAGGGTTAGTTTTTGGGTTGCTACTATGAGTTTGTGGGAAGACGAGATGCGGCGACACTAACCGTAACCCTAACCCACATCCTAACCCTAACCCAAACTCTAACCCTAACCCAAACCCTAACCCTAACCCAAACCCTACCCCCTAACCCTAGCCCAAACTCTAACCCAAACCCTAACTCTAACCCAAACCCTAACCCTAACCCAAACCGTATGATTATAGCAAGGCAGTGCATGCTGTCTATCGCCAAGACACAGTAATTGTGTCAATTGTTTCGTTCCCTCCTTTTCCACTCTGTAATTGCACTGTAGCCAAGAACTCTGACTAACCGGCCATCTACTGTTGTCTACCGGCCATAGTTAAAAAGTAATCTAAAGAGAAATCAGCGAAGACGTTTCAGTTTCAGAGCAGAGAGGTCAGAGGTGACCGAGTTCTGTTTATGTCCTCTTTTCTTCTTCCTCTCCTTCACCCCCTCTCTCTCTCCACAACATTATTTGTTCTACATTCCTCTCCCTTTTTTTCATTCAGCAGACAAGGATGGCTTTAAGCGGAAATCATTTAACTGATATGTTGATTTGAGTAACCAGTAATCAAGGTGATCGGCGTTGCAGCTACGGAGGAGTTCGTACTTTGTGCAACACTCCCTCGGCAGTTGTCTTTATGATACAGTTAGCCAGTTACATTTGTCAATGTGTTATTCATCCTTTTACTATGGTTATAGAGCAGACATCAGAAGTGCCTGCGCAAACAGTCCAACACTAGAAAGGCAGTTTGTCATCAATAGAAGCAGCAGTTACAACAGATCACAGTAGCTGTATATGTGATTAATTTAGTCATCAATAAACCTATTGTGGGTTTCCGGTACTGAAAGAGTTTTTAAAAAAAAACATGGACTCCTAGACTGATCCAACCTCAGATGGATTCTTGGAAAAGTTGTGGGCAGTAAAAGCAGCTAGCTACCATCATCAAGTGCCATTTGGATTTTAATTATAAAAGCTATCACCATATCCCTGGAAAGAGTAGGCCAACCAGAGAGATGAATGGAGGTGAGTGATATATGCAGCAATAAACCTCAAGTGCTCGGAATGCTGAAGAAGAAGAAGATCACCATATCTCTTGCAAACCTAAAGGAGTAGAAAAAACTAATCACCTATTTTTATTATTGCTAAAAGCTGTACAAGTTGGGAAACTTTGTTTTATTTACTCCTCAATTTATAACATTGATTTTTTCCCCCTACTTTAGAAATTACACTTGTTTTTTTTTTTTTTTAAATCTTTATTTTATGTTAGAACTCTTTTTTCCCCCTTCTTTTACACTGTACAAATTACAATTCATTTTTGTTTTGTGTTTACTATACAATTTAGAGGGAGCCGCCACGGTGTAACGGCTAGATGCTAGCCTGCAGATTGGAAAGTCATGGGTTTAGTTCTTGACACAGCAGGACTTAAAAAAAAACATTCTTGGCTTCCATGTCGACCCAGCCTTAAACGGGTACCAGGTGCAGTCCTTGAAAGTAAAGGTGGCCAGCATGATGCTGACCACAGCACCCACCGAATGGTCACTGGTCTATAAAATATAAGTCTAGCCCTATCTGCCCAGTACACCTGAAGGCCTGAAAAAGGTCGATAATACTAGTTCGAACTCTTGGGTTTTTCACTTGTGCAAATTACAAACTGAACTATACCTCTCAACCGCTCTGACAAATATTTTCTTCTGCAATATGGTATTTATTTTTGTGTGTTTGACTGAACTTTCAGGTTAGTCACGAACACAGACACAAGAGACAACAGGCTGCTGCGGATAGTGTTACAAAGAAAGGTAATTCCAGATCCAGCATGTTGTTATCATAGTGTTGTTACACAGACAGCTAAAATCAGATCCAGCATGTTGTTATCATAGTGTTGTTACACAGACAGCTAAAATCAGATCCAGCATGTTGTTATCATAGTGTTGTTACAAAGACAGCTAAAATAAAATGAGACCTAGCTATTTGTTGTCATAGTGTTGTTACACAGACCGCTAAAATCAGATCCAGCGTGTTGTTATCAAAGTGTTGTTACACATACAGGTACTGTTAGATACTAAATATTGTTATCAGAAAGATGTAACAAAGATACATGGGGAGGGGGGGGCGAATAGATGCACCCCCCTTTCCCCCCACCCTTTCCAACAAGCATGTTGTAAAAGATGACTTATTAGGTTTGTTTCCTTTATCATTTGAAGTTAGAATGCATTTACCAGACAGCCGAGGAACCAGTAGTCTGCACACAAATAAGCCAGATCTGTAAAACAGATGTGCACACACAACTCAAGTTCTAGATCAAGATGAAAGTGCATCAGGGGATGAATAACCACAACCTTTCTGCCAAAGTATACAGTTGTTGAATGCTACGGAGAAGAAGTAATATGTTCATCCATCCATCCATCCATCCATCCATCCAATAATTTACCCTTCAATCCACCCATTTATTTATTCATCCATCAATCTATCCATTTATATGAAGTGTATAGAAGTTGTGTATGTGAATGCTTTCTTCTGCTCATTTCTTTTGTTAGCCATTTGTTTAACTTTTCATTACTTCTTCAGATTGTAGCCAGCCCCTAGGTAACACATACAGCTCCACGCAGGTAGAAGCCGGATGGTATGACTGGTGGCTGCAGCGGGGATTCTTCACACCATCTGGAAATGTAAGTGTCATCTGGAAATGTAAATGTCATCTGGAAATGTAAATGTCATCTGGAAATGTGTCATCGGGAAACAAAAAAGTGTCATCTGGAAATGTAAGTATCATCTGGGTCTTTTTTCTGTACAAGAATATTCTTAGAATGTACAAAGAAATACATTGGACATACAAAAGTACTTTAGGTTATTCTTTGGCATTGCTGCAAGAATCTCTCTGTGATTCTCTTGGCTGGGCTTCTTTTAATATCATCACAGGAGTCAGGGACGTCAAGGCTGCTTGGAAGACTAGAAATCTTTTCATCCTGGGATGGAACCATGTTGAATGACCATTTCTTGTGAATGAAGTCTGAACTTTCATGTAGTGAGTTGAAAAACACAGGAGCGGCCATTGTGTCCGCCATAGAGTAGCACTCAGATCTCCTGTTTGAGAAGGAAAGAAAATCACTTACTGACGGGACATTGCAGCCTAACAGCCCTCTGCCAAAGTCTTGGTGCTGAACAGACTCCAGAACACTCTTGCAAGACTGTCCTCTCCTGAAAGAGCTGCAAAACAACATGTAGCCACATCCAGTAGATGTAAAAACTGAGCTTTGGGGAAACTAGAGAGAGACTGTACTGACATCCCAGTTTATGGCCACAAGAGATGAAACAAATGACCAAAGAGTGTTGAAGAAGAAGAAAAGTAGTCACTTCTGTGAGACTCCCACAAAACGAGCGGCTGATGAACACTTCGACAGGAAAGTAAAGTAGGTCTAGGCTTTTCACAGTCCAACAGGTGATCGATACTTTGGTTGATTCAGACTCTGCAGAGTCATTATTTCATGAAGAATACGTTCACAGTTGAAGTGACACATTCAGCTCGAATAACGAGGAGAATCTTGAAAATTATCAATCTAGAAATAGATAGTAGTAAGAGAAGGGGGCGTGTCCCTCAAACATCAACATCTAGTGCTCACTTTGTGAAACAATCTTGATCCTCCTGAGTGGATTGGCACACAAAGGTGGAATATTGGCACTAGATAAAAGATAATCCTTTTTTCTACAATGTCTCCAAGTTTCATCTTATTTTAGCTACTTGTTTGCATGTAACTAATATTTTTGTATATCATGTTGGTTTTTTCGCGTTAATGCCCAGGAGCTCAGGTATAGGGGACAGTTAGGTTCAGGGCTTTAGGTCTGGTAGGGATAAGCATGCTGGTGTTAATTATTTAGTCAGCCTTTGATGATCTCTAGGTGGTCCGCAAGGCTGCAGGAATTCCCTAGTTCTAGCACCATTCTGAGATTATATTTTGTACTCTGGCAGGCAAATGTTTGCAACACCTGGCAAGTTTTTAAATCAGAGTTAGCTTGAGTCTGTAGCATTGTAACTAATCCATCACCTTACAAGGAGCCAAGTGACAGCACGACCTTGCCAAGCCTATTGAAGAAAAAAAGAAAGAAATTTTTTAGTATAGAAAAAACACAGGCGTATTTCCCTACAAGAGAGATTTTCATTTTCTGCCTTTTGTCCTTCGTTGAGCATAGACTCTTAACCCACACAGAATCTCCTATCTATACACTCTAAGGTGTTGTGATTATCTATACAGATGGCTCTGTATTGAGGGGCAGGCAAAGTGCATGGAGGTTTATAGCAAAGGCAAATGGATGTCGCTTAGTGCAACAATGTCTAGTATATAATATCACAACATCTAGTTTGAGAATGGAGGTGGAGGTGGAGGCAGTCACTGCTGCCTTCCGCTGGCTTGAGAATCAGCTGCACATGCATGCCATGATTGTAACTGACTCACAGATCATGTTGAGACAGGCATTAGGTGCAGAGTGGCAAGCATCACTTTAGAGATCCTGGGTAGTTAGTGTCCTTTGGATATTTTCTCCATGTCATGCTGGTGTGTTTGGAAATGAGCAGACAGATAAACTGACCCTTCTACACCACATGGTAGTGAATTGATGTATGGCAAGCTAGATGTTGTGACTGCCTTTTAGAAGTGGGTGAACAGTTCAGAGGCACAAATAGGTCATTACGGTCTGAGGAGAATGGAGCTGCAGTGATCTGGCCGATGCTTACCACTCAAGGGAAGGACGAAACGGATTTACAATGAGACAGTTACTGGTACAATTGGAATTGGAACTCTTCGACTGCTGCTGAGGATGGGGACGGAGTGCTTATGGACCGTTCTGAGTGCTGTGATGTCGATTCTTTTTTCAACATTCTCAATTCAACATTCAACAATGTCCTATGCACTTCATGGCTAGATCTAGCAGCCAAATATTTCGAGTGCCTTGCCAAGTCTCTTTAGCTTTACCTTTTACAGCTTGCATGTTATGTCAGTGGTACTATTCTTTGCTTCCCATGATGGCTGCTGTAATACACTGCCATTATAAAAAAGTTTGGTGCTTTAAAAACAGCAAAGAAGAGTGAGAGAAGAACAAACAAATGAAGAAACTTTTTTTTCAAAGGGTTACAAGGCGACATAGAAGAAGTAAATTATTTAAAATTTTAACTTTCATATATGGGTTTAAAATTTGGTTTCTTGAAAAGACAACTTTAGAAAATGTATTTTCCTTTAGATTGATAACAGAGCTGAGGACTGGCAGGTGTTTTCAATGTTGCTACCCCCACCAAATGTCACGGGGAACCTTCATCTGGGACATGCTTTGACTGGAGCTATACAAGATGTCATTGTTAGGTGGCGTAGGATGACAGGTTGGCTTCGTGTGTGACACTGATTCCTTTTTGTAAACAACATCACTGAAATTTTGTTTTGTGCTTGTCTGTGTTTGTTGTTTTGTTTCTCATCTTCAGGCCTCTTTTTTTGGGATAAAAAAAAAAAGGCGTGTGGGAGGGCAGAAATTATAAGCAGAATGGGTCAAGCAAAACCTCATTTCAGAAGTTGAAAATTGACTTATCTAATCATTCAGTTTCATATAGTAACAAAAACTGAGTACTGAAGTGTCATGTCTAACCTGTTCTACTGTGTAACAGTTAATCCTTAGAAGTCAAAAGACAAATTAAGAAATGCTTAGAGGCAATGGAGATATGATGTTTTTTAAAATGATTGTTGTGAATACCTTGCACAACTTATAAACATTGGTTGTCTGGAAAATCATTGAATCAAAAGTCTGAGTTTTTCAACTGAACTGCTACCGACAAATTATTTGAATACCACAGACTTTCAAGATGAAAAACACCAGCATCCTACCTGATCTGAGCATCGAGGGTAATTGGCTCATAAACAACATCCTGTCCCGAAAGCAGAGGTATTATTGGCCACGATAAATGTCATGGTGGTCTGGAGAGAACAGTGATAGAGGGTACAGTTTCCACAAGTCCAGGCAGAGGCAGACCTCTGTGGATGTGGATACAGGACATTGAAGATGCGTTGGTTACAAAAGCACATAGGGCTGGAGTATTGGCTGGAGAAATAGAGACTTTCAGGCATGAATGAGAGTGATATTCTGTGAAGAACCAGCTGTTTGGTAATGATGATAATGGAAGGGGGGGGGGGGGGGCTAATGTAATCTGTGTAGCAACAAATTATATGCAGCTTTCACAAAGTGTTTTTTTTTAAGCATGTGAGAAGAGAGGAATTGAAGAACATTATTGTAACTGAAAAAAAATAAGCTGTGGACAGGGCAGACTGAAAGAGTTGATTCTGGATGGTCCCAGATGGTGGCATGAAGGGACATCCTATACAGGGTTGATGCAGAATACCGAGGACGAATATCTTGATAAGAGATGAATGGAGCCCGTGGAGTTGATTGTTTTTGATGTGTGCCTGCTGTTTTTTTGTTTTTGTTGTTGTTGTACTGTTTCTTTTTGGGTTTTACCTCTTGTTTGTACTTTTAAATTTTGCTGTTATCTTTTGTATTTATATATTTTTTGGAGGTCTGGAAAATGAGGTTATTGAAAGCTGTATGATTTTGTACACACAAACTAACTCACATTTTTAGGTATGAATGAAAAAAACATATTCAATCCTTAGTTCCAGAGAAGCCACAAAAAACTTTCCACTTGCTACTTAACTCCACACTATAATTATTGTTTACAGGCCGCAAGATGTGTAAGCCAGTTAATGAGGATTTTTCCTGGGAATATTCTAACGGAAATGGAAAGTAGGGCAGCTTGGCTTTCTTTTCTTCCTAGGTCACCAGGGTGAAAGGGTTAAAACATCTAATTACATTTTAAAAATAGTAATTGTGTGCACATTAATGACCTTCTGTAGGCCACGAAACACTTTGGGTTCCTGGAACAGACCATGCAGGTATTGCAACTCACGTGGTGGTGGAGAAACAGCTGAGGAAGGAACATGGGAAGACAAGGCACGATCTAGGCAGAGAAGGCTTCATCAAGGAAATCTGGAAATGGAAGCAAGAGTAAGACAGTCTTCTGTTTTTTTTTTTTACTTTTACCTGAATCTTTCCAGCACTACAGGAATGTCTGTAAGTGCATAGTCTCCCTGAGCTTTTATTACCCACGGCTGAATGCACAGTGAATTTGTTTTTGGTATTAGACTCTGTTTCTCTGTCCTTGTAATGAGTGGCAAAATTTGTATTCTTATAGATAGCTAAATATCTGTAGATAAATTGTTGTTGTCATGTGTAGCTAACAGTTAGTACTCCACTGAATAGCAAGCTGTATGAATCAGTGGAATATAGACCGCATTAGAGCCCTACACAAATCTAACTGTTGCTTGGATACTATCAGTGTATTCAAATAAGGATGATCCTGCCACAGGTCCAGCCAGCCGGTAGGGAATTTATTTGTTCACGGGAAATTGCCCAAGAATTATGGAGGTCCAGCACAAGCACTACATCTCAGAAGATCAGCTACAAGAGCAAGAGGACGGCCGCGGAAAACATGGATCGACAACATTAAAGACACTCTACGCCTTCACAGCATGACAATAGATAGTGGCAGCCGACGTGCACTGGATCGCAAATTATACCTCCCCACTACGCTTAATGGCAGAAGTGGTTCATGATGATGATGATGATGATGAGCTTGGATACTTTGACCTGCTTTTCTCCTTGACCATTCCATTCAAACCTGCACACAGGTCTACTTGACCATTCCATTCAAACCTGCACACAGGTCTACTTGACCATTCCATTCAAACCTGCACACAGGTCTACTTGACCATTCCTTTCAAACCTGCACACAGGTCTACTTGACCATTCCATTCAAACCTGCACACAGGTCTACTTGACCATTATATTCAAACCTGCACACAGGTCTACTTGACCATTCCATTCAAACCTGCACACAGGTCTACTTGACCATTCCATTCAAACCTGCACACAGGTCTACATTATATTCAAACCTGCACACAGGTCTACTTGACCATTCCATTCAAACCTGCACACAGGTCTACTTGACCATTCCATTCAAACCTGCACACAGGTCTACATTATATTCAAACCTGCACACAGGTCTACTTGACCATTACATTCAAACTTGCACACAGGTCTACTTGACCATTCCATTCAAACCTGCACACAGGTCTACTTGTGTCTTCAGCTTGCCCCCATCCAAGACTTTCCTCTTTTTAATTAGAGACTCTTGGATCCTTGTCTGCGGCCACTCTAAGATATGAGTTTACTTGCAGCACTTTGAGTCTATCTGTTATAATCGGCAGTGCAAGTATTTATGGTGAATGTATTATAGAGGTGATTAGACATTTTTTTTAATGAGAAGAGGTGGAATCAGAGACAAAGCAGAATCAGATGTGATAATTTTGGGATAAAGAATCAAGTGGGTGCAGTTTCAGCGATAGATTTTATAAAGAGACAGCACGTCTGATAATTGGGGCACATGATTTAAACCACCCTAAACAGCCTGCTCCAGGCAACAGTTGACATTTAGACACAGAAGAAACAGGGCAAGAGGTAGAGTTTGAAAGAGATGGGTTAACGGAATATCAGAAGCATTGAACACCACTCGGTATGCAGTCCACACGAGGACCTTACCCAGGCCAAGCTTTCTAATCTCACTTTGAATTGTACAACTAGTATCATTAGAAAAAATGTAAATATATTCTGGCCAGCACTTGACCTCAAGCCTGCCAAATTAGCCTGTAAAGATTCCTTCAAAGTGCCATTGCCTGAGAGACGAGTAACCAATAGTTTTCATACAAGTAAACCAAATCTGTCAAATGGCTGTGTACACAAAACTCAATACCTGGAACAACACCAAAGTCCAGGAATTAACAAACAGGCATCATTTTTCACAGAGTTTACAGCCGATGAATAAAAACTTAAGTCTTAAGTTCTTAGTGGAGGTTTCAGCATCGCCGCAATCGGGTTTTCCCATACTTGCTCCGTTTCTGTGTCAGTGCAAATCGAATGAAATGTCTCCCATTGTTGCATTTGAAAAAGTGGTCAACAAACAACTAGTCCCTGAACAATCCAGAAATATGTGCACACAATAAATGCATATTTCAGTTGCTGGAGGTGCCAAAGCCAACAATCACCACCAGAAATTCAGTTTTTGTCGTTGATGGAAGAATTTGGGCACAATAAGTTGGCTCTACACACATAGAATGATTACATAAGGTATTTCACCAACTTAGACGTAAACCGGCCACTAGCCATACTGAATACCACACCACAACCGCTGCACAAATGAAAGGCATTCCACTGGAAAAACACAGCTCACAGTGCTGCACCAAGCACTAACCTCAGTAGCTCAGGCAGCAAAACCGTAGACTACCATCCTTATGTGGAAACTGCATTAGCAAAGCGCTGTCGGAAGCAAAAATAGCTTTGAAAAGTAACATTTTGCCAAGCCTTTCCTCCATTTCGGCCAGAAGTCCTGAGAATAAGAAGAGATTATGTAAAGATATAAATGTTTTTACTTTAATTTACTAATTTTACATTACCTACTTTTACAGACATGGACATAATATCACAGAACAGATGCAGACATTAGGGTTGTCACTTGACTGGACTAGAGAGTATTTCACAATGGATGAGGTAATTCTGAATGACGAGATGTAGTTTGTTCATAAGTATTCTATGTTATATCAGTTTATAGTCTTTTATAATAAGCACTTAGTCTTTTGTTGTTGTTATTATTTTGTTACTAATTGTAACTGGGGACTGAAACAATCACACTGAACAAATTGCTTTATTACTATTGCTTAGTTTTGCTTAGCATATTATTTTCATGGTAATGCCTGAAATAATTCTGTTAAAAATACTTCACTTCAACATTGGACTGATATTGCTTTGCATTTGCAGAGGTTGAATCTTGCTGTGACCGAAGCTTTTTGTAGATTGTTTGACCTGGGACTGATATACCGAGATAAACGAATGATAAACTGGTCCTGTGCACTCAGATCCTCGCTGTCTGACATAGAGGTAGTGTATAGTGATTTCTGCCTTCCTCTCCATCATATTTTCCTTTATATTACTTTCTTATTTCTGTGACTATTTTACTGTCAACCGTGGTTTGGTGTTAACTTTGTCTATTTGTCTGATTTCTGTCTGCTTTTTGTATTTGCTATTTGTATGTGCAACTTCCTTTTGAGTACACTCAACACTTTGCTTGCAGATTTTCTATGTTGTCTAGCTATAGTTGTAATTTTATTTTTAGCTCTAGCTCTGTATTTAGTTAAGTTGTGTTCTGGTCTTGTTCTTGTAATTTTATTTAGCTGAAGTTGTATCTGTGTCCAATTTACTTTGTGCTACAATTTACTTGTTGCCTCTAGCTGAGGTATATGTATTACTATCTAAAGTTTTGCCGCCATTACCAAGTTGAATTTTTAGCTATTGGTTATTGCCAGGTTGACAGTCTGACACTAGAAGGACCCACAACTTTGAAGATGCCAGGATTGGCTCAGAAAGTCAAGTTTGGCATACTCTCACATTTTGCCTATCCTGTGTTTAATTCAGGTAATCTTCAAAAATGTTAATGAGATTGGTTGTCTGTCAAAAAAAAAATGTTATGTTGTTTCATAACAGTTAGTTTGTTGTTTGCTAAAAATACTTTTAACAGTTCTTTGTGTTGCATAAATAACTATGTTGTTTGTAGACTTTGTATCTCAGCTTAATGAGGCCCATCATCCCAGCTTTCCAGACAGATCCTTAAGTACTCCGATCTCCTCACCATAAAATGACTGATCTCGCCCATTCTGTTTCGATGAATCAGACTTTGCACTCCCATATCCGCCACTCTGGATATGGATACTTCTTCTTTCCTTGGCTTGAAATAGATGATCTATATCTGCAATGTTGTGGGTACTGTTATCTATATCTGCAATGTTGTGGGTACTGTTATCTATATCTGCAATGTTGTGGGTACTGTTATCTATATCTGCAATGTTGTGGGTACTGTTATCTATATCTGCAATGTTGTGGGTACTGTTATCTATATCTGCAACGTTGTGGGTACTGTTATCTATATCTGCAACGTTGTGGGTACTGTTATCTATATCTGCAATGTTGTGGGTACTGTTATCTATATCTGCAATGTTGTGGGTACTGTTATCTATATCTGCAATGTTGTGGGTACTGTTATCTATATCTGCAATGTTGTGGGTACTGTTATCTATATCTGCAATGTTGTGGGTACTGTTATCTATATCTGCAATGTTGTGGGTACTGTCTGCAATGTTGTGGGTACTGTTATCTATATCTGCAATGTTGTGGGTACTGTTATCTATATCTGCAATGTTGTGGGTACTGTTATCTATATCTGCAATGTTGTGGGTACTGTTATCTAAATCTGCAATGTTGTGGCTACTGTTATCTATATCTGCAATGTTGTGGCTACTGTTATCTATATCTGCAGTGTTGTGGGTACTGTTATCTATATCTGCAATGTTGTGGGTACTGTTATCTATATCTGCAATGTTGTGGTTACTGTTTCTTGCTTCTTCTGGTTGTAAGCTATGGGGTATGCATCTTGCATGGCATTAGTGACATCACTTCTCTTCTGTGCCAGGTCATCTGCACACTCATTGCCTTGAACACTCACATGACCTGGTACCCTTGAACACTCACATGACCTGGTACCCTTGAACACTCACATGGCCTGGTACCCTTGAACACTCACATGGCCTGGTATGAAGTTAGGCAGGTACACTGTGCATTTAATGAGACAGTTGATTCTTGTTTCTTGAAGCTGGTCAGGGTGTTCTTAAGCATATTTATTGAATCGTGCAATATGCACGCATGTGTGAACTCTTGAGTACTCAGCCAGGTCAGTGCCCTTGTTACAGTAACAGTCTCCATTGTGAGCCGACTTGTTCTAACAGCAAAGGCATCATTCATCTCCTTTGTTTCTGTGATTTATCAACATACATATGTGCCCTAAGCAAAGACAAAAGTGAGCATGTTCTGCAGGGTTGTCCTCCGTACAGAGAGCTGAGAAAAATACACTGGCCAACTAAATCAGCCAGCCCCGAGCTGGCTGGAACTAAAGAGGACCTCAATTACAGGATCAAGGTCATCATGAGATGATGAAATCCTTCAAGCCAGCAATCACAAGAAGAAATGTTGTTTGATAAGTCATGGAGAAAAAAGGCACTAAGTGAGTGGGACCTTGAGGTCATAAGGGTGAGAGACTTGAAGGTTAGGGACAGAGGGGTGTGGACGTTAACAATGGACGGATATATGTAAAACAGCTAGAATAGGTTATGGTGACGGAATCAGTTTTTTGTAGTGTTATTTGTGACAGCGACTAGCCGGTAATTATGTTAATATAATCTCCTGTGATAGAGACCAGTGATTGTGCCCTCTCCTGGTAAATGTGAATGCTACATGTCTGTATGCAGTTGCTGTCTTCCAAAGAGTTTATTATACCCCTTACTTACAATATTTTTGTCATATTTGTATTTTAAAGATGAACGAGTTGTTGTAGCAACAACCAGACTGGAGACTATGTTAGCAGATGTGGCTGTGGCCGTGAACCCTGATGACCCTCGTTACAGCCATCTGATTGGCCAGACAGTTGTTCATCCTCTAGACAAGGGCAGACAACTCCCTATTATTGCAGACACATTCGTCGACATGAAGTTTGGGACAGGTAACAATACGCCTGATATGCTTGTTCACATTTTTGTTCCCCTTTGCCAGATATGTTGATGTTGAACTAAGCACTGACATCACAGCACTCGGGACATTCCCATAATTGCTCTTTCCCCATTTTAGCAGCCAAAAAATAATTATATTTCAGATCGTGCCAGTATCAGTTTGATTATGTGTCCATCTTGCCTCACCTCTGAGTGTAAAGTATTGTCCAGATCCTCTGTCCACTCCCAGCTGTACCAGCTGTAATGGTCTCTTCGTCCCTCTGCATCATTCACTTGCCCTCAAAGGACCTTGACCATATCTTGCTTTTGAATTCACCACCTATTATTAGTCATATACACAAGGTGTTTTGTTCATTGTAATTAACAGAGTGCTGTGGGGACAGTTTTCTGGTGGGAGTCTCCCCAGCAAAAATCAACACGTCTGTGTGTTATTTTTTGGGTCTTTTATTTAAATTAAACTCTTTTTTGTACAAAATAACACACCATGTGTTTATTGAGTATTCCTTACATTAAATGCTGTCCTCAATTTTTATGTCTCATTTGTTTGTTTCTTTAACCAACCAGATCCTAATTGTCCCTTTCACTTTTATTTTCTGTTGGGATGTTTTTTTTTCTTCTGTAAATGTGAACAGTCACCATGGAGGTGTTCTCCAACACTCACTGTTGTTGCACAGACTGCTATTCAACCATTTTCATGATGTTATTGTTACTGTGTCCCTCTTTCTCACCTGCCTTCAGTTTTTTCCTCCAGTAATGGTTTTATTAGTGTGATGTTTTTTTTAATATGACCACAATATTTAACTTATTTTTATTTAACTTTATTTTGCTTTATTCAGTGGCTCTGTTTTCTTGCTGTTGTTCCAGGACCTCTGTATTTGACTGTGTTTGTTTTTATGAAATGTGACCTATTCTTATGTATCTGCACATCAGTAGGGTCTCAGTTTGACTTTTTGATCACTAGAGTTGGAATAGTTTAAAGTAGCTTTCTGGTTCTGTCCTTTTTCGGTTCTTCTGCCTCATGTATTTTCATGTCTTCAAGTTCCAAGGTGTCAAAGTTTCAGTGTCTCTAAGTTCTAGTGTGTCAAAGTTCGATGTCTCGGATTTCTAGTGTGTCCAAGTTCCATGTCTCGGATTTCTAGTGTGTCCAAGTTCCATGTCTCGGATTTCTAGTGTGTCCAAGTTCCATGTCTCTAAGTTCCAGTGTGTCAAAGTTCCATGTCTCTAAGTTCCAGTATGTCAAAGTTCCATGTCTCTAAGTTCCATTGTGTCAAAGTTCCATGTCTCTAAGTTCTAGTGTGTCAAAGTTCCATGTCTCTAAGTTCTAGTGTGTCAAAGTTCCATGTCTCTAAGTTCCAGTATGTCAAAGTTCCATGTCTCTAAGTTCCATTGTGTCCAAGTTCCATGTCTCTAAGTTCCAGTATGTCAAAGTTCCATGTCTCTAAGTTCTAGTGTGTCCAAGTTCCATGTCTCTTAGTTCCAGTATGTCAAAGTTCCATGTCTCTAAGTTCCATTGTGTCAAAGTTCCATGTCTCTAAGTCCCAGTGTCTTGAAGTCCCAGTGTCTCGAAATCCCAGTGTCTCCAAGTTCCAGTGTCTCGAAGTCCCAGTGTCTCCAAGTCCCATCCGTTGGTGTTATGCCACACATTTGAAATGCTGCTGAAATATTTCTTTATAGGAGCTGTTAAAATCACCCCCGGCCATGACCGAGTGGATTATGAAGTTGGGTGCCGCCATGGCCTGCCTGTCCTGGAAATCCTCAGTGATGACGGAACTATATGCAAGCACGTGGAGCTTGTCGGAGGTCTGCATCGTTTGGAAGCTCGGGATAAAGTCAAGGAGGCTCTGAGTGTTCTTGGCTACTACTGTGGAGAGAAGGGTCATCCAACAGTTCTACCTTTGTGTAGGTATGTCATCCAACAGTTCTACCTTTGTGTAGGTATGTCATCCAACAGTTCTACCTTTATGTAGGTATGTCATCCAACAGTTCTACCTTTGTGTAGGTATGTCATCCAACAGTTCTACCTTTGTGTAGGTATGTCATCCAACAGTTCTACCTTTATGTAGGTATGTCATCCAACAGTTCTACCTTTGTGTAGGTATGTCATCCAACAGTTCTACCTTTATGTAGGTATGTCATCCAACAGTTCTACCTTTATGTAGGTATGTCATCCAACAGTTCTACCTTTATGTAGGTATGTCATCCAACAGTTCTACCTTTGTCTAGGTATGTCATCCAACAGTTCTACCTTTATGTAGGTATGTCATCCAACAGTTCTTTCTACCTTTGTGTAGGTATGTCATCCAACAGTTCTACCTTTGTGTAGGTATGTCATCCAACAGTTCTACCTTTGTGTAGGTATGTCATCCAACAGTTCTACCTTTATGTAGGTATGTCATCCAACAGTTCTACCTTTGTGTAGGTATGTCATCCACCAGTTCTACCTTTATGTAGGTATGTCATCCAACAGTTCTACCTTTATGTAGGTATGTCATCCAACAGTTCTACCTTTGTGTAGGTATGTCATCCAACAGTTCTACCTTTATGTAGGTATGTCATCCAACAGTTCTACCTTTATGTAGGTATGTCATCCAACAGTTCTACCTTTGTGTAGGTATGTTCATTCATTCAGAATGTTGCTTACGGTTTGAAATAATAATGAAGACTAACAATAGATGGACACATTCTGAGAAGAGACGAGCAGACAATCACAAGACAGGCACTGTCATGATCGTGGTAGGGGCGCAAAGATTAATACAAGACATGGAAGATGCAATGGCATTGAAAGCACATGGGGCTGGAGAGCTGGCTTGGGAAATATACTTTCAGGCATACGGTGAAGAGAGCTACATTCTGTAAAGGACTTGCTGATTGATGAGATGAGTCTGACAGTGCTGTCTTTTGGTGCTTCTCCTATTTTGGACTGGCAATAGACTGCAACTGCCAACACTAGAAATAGAATATGGTGGACCCCTTCAAAACATCTTGATGATCTGAACTTTGCTGATATTTCTCATCTGTCCCACTCATGGAATTAGATGCATGATAAATTAAATATACTTGATCACAACAGATAAGTCTGAAAATCCATGAGGGAAAAAGACGCATAATAAATCTGGCAAATAGTAATGTGGTTTTTCTTAATGGTATCTCACTCCAAGACGTGGCGTTGTACACCTATTTGGGACAGTAATGTATATAAAGATGGGGGGGGGGGGGGCTATAAGAGATGTTAAAATATAAATTTAAAAGGCAAGAGGAGTTTTCGTAGCACTAGGAGATTTGTGGAGGTCAACAGACATTGAATATAATACTAAACTTACAATTTGTAATTGTAATGTGAAATCATTTCTGTTCTTTGAAGTGGGAACATGGAGAACAACTAAGGCAGTTAATAATAACCTGCAGACATCTATTAACTGGTGCCTGCGTAGAACAGAGGGAATTAAATGTATGATATGATAGAATCACTAATATTGAGCTTTGGGAGAGAACTCAACAAGTTCCGGTGGACCAAGAGGTGAGGAAAAGACGCTGGTGTTGGATAGGCCACACATTGAAAAAACCTGAGAACAATATAACAAGGATCTCTTTGTACTGGAACCCACAGGGGAATATAAATAAAGGAAGACCAAACAACACATGGAGAGGGGGGGGGGGGCTAGAGAGTGAAGTTAAATAGATAGGGGGAGTACATGAAAGAGCATGAAGAGTAGCGAAGGATAGAATGACTTGGCGGGCTATGGTTGAGGGCCTATGCTCCTTTGGGAGATAGAAAGGCCGAAGACGAAATTTTACAATCTGTCCCTTTTTATTTTGTTGTCTTCTTTGTCATTATTTACCTAAGGAATGTCAGATAATAGTTATTGGTTAAAATATGCGATATTATCGCACTTGGGACATATGCGTTGGTTCTCCCTCTCCCTAATCAGTTAGCAGAGTGTATGGAAACTAGCTACTTGTGTCACACTCTGATTAGATACTCTTCTAAAACATTTACATAATAAGCATGTAGCACTAATTCCAGTGTGTAGTTTGTGTTGCTTCAGTGTGAACATTGTTGTCTCATTGCGTGCTAAATCATCACTATCCAATCACTTTAAGGGCGGATGGTTGTCTCATTGCGTGCTAAGTCATTACCTTCCAGTCACTTTAAGGGCGGATGGTTGTCTCATTGCGTGCTAAATCATTACCCTCCAGTCACTTAAAGGGCGGATGGTTGTCTCATTGCTTGCTAAATCATTACCCTCCAGTCACTTAAAGGGCGGATGGCACATTCTGTTGTGGTGTATAGTGAGGCTGCGATATCTGCGCCTTTCAGGCTAACACATGCGATTTCTGCAAAACCTTAATAATTATTTATCCTTTATGACAAGCTTGTTAACAGGCAGCAGGTCTGTTCTTTTACCGCCTAAACTAAGGCCCCCAGAACCCAACAGGTAAGGGTTCGATAAAAGACACAAGGCCAAGGAATGGATACAGATTTGACGATTGGGTTTAAAAATGAAAGGTAGTGTGTAACGTTGATGACAGCATACAAGATTTAGGGTAAAATTTGTGATTAAATAAAAATAAAGATGATATTGTAAACAAAGGTATTCTTTGTTTAATTGAACATTTGTGGCGGAGTAAAACTGACATAATTTCTACTTTCAGTCGGACTGGAGATGTGGTTGAACCAAGACTGAAGGAGCAATGGTTCTTAAACTGCAGGGAAATGTCACAAAAAGCAATAGAGGTTTTTACAATTTTCTGTTAAATTCTTTAAGTCTTTTGTCTTCTGTATGTCTGTTAATTAGAGATATCTGTTTTCTTGTTTTTTCTTCACATCTCTTTGAATTATTTATTTACAATGATTGACTTACTTGCTTAGTCGCTCCTCTTTTACCTTGGGGTGTAGAGGTTTGCCAGAGAGATTGCCAGACGTCTCTTTCAGCAGTTTTCTTTCTGGCTTTGTAACATTTCAATCCTCTGTCGGAGGTTGTCTTCCCAGGAAGTCTGATTCCCTGTTCTTAGCCTGCCATGCCTGCCATGGTGGCTGATTTTCTACCATTCTGCATACATGTCCAAAACATCGTAACTTTGACTGATCCACACGGGTTTGAATGGCCTGGATTACAAGAACTTGATTTATTGTTTGATTGTGGACTTTGTCTCTTCTCGTCACTTGGACCAGCTTTCTCAGATATTTCATTTCTGAGGCCTAAAGCTGGCTTCTGTGAGCTGGTGTCATTGCCCATGACTCACACCCGTAGGTCAGGACTGGTACGTAGGTAGAGCGGTGAACAGCAATTTTTGTCCTCTTGCCAATTTCTCTTTTGCTAAGAACCCTCGTTTGTGGCCTGGAAAGTCTTCCATCAGTTGCTTTTCAAGTAGCTAGCTTTGTTTTAATGCCTTCGTTTCGGTCTATTACAACTCCAAGGTATTTGAACTGGTTGACCTGCTCCAATGCATACTGTCATGTCATGATCTGGTGTTTCTTCTCCTCTCTTGAGATCACTATGGTTTTAGTTTTTGAGATACTGATGGTCATCCCTCTCTTCTCAAGCTCTTCCTTCCAGTAGTGTTTTTATCGTATAGATTGATTGATTCATGAAACATGTATTTCTTAGAATATTTTTTAGTTGTATGTTTCATAGACTAATTTATGAACACGTGTTTCATAGAATGTATTTTAGTTGTTCATGTCATAGAATAGTTTTAGTTAGTTTGATAATGATATTTGTTATTTCATAATATTAATCCAAGTTGGTGTCTTTTTAGGCTGTCGAATCTGGTCAACTAAAGATAATTCCACAGTATAATGAAAAGATCTGGAGTGAGTTTTTGAAAAGTACCCAGTCACAGTAAGTTATCTTCTAGTAAAATAAACTTCACATGTGAATATAAATTGTTAATTTGGAGGTATTAGATGTTATGTTAGGCTGACACAATTGACGTCACTGCACATTAGGCATTCCCTTCCAGAATCCGCACGAAGACCCTTCTAATCTGAAGAAGTTTTCTTCATCTTTTTTTCTGCCGGTCCTCTCCCGACAGAGCATAGGCCACCAGCTAGCTCACATCAAACTCTTTGTAAACCTATTTATTCATTGTCGACTGGATTTTGCATGAACGAGTTACCTTTGAGATGAGGCAGGTGACCCATCACCAACCCTCCTTATTTGCCACTTATGTCATGCATGATAAGTTACTTTTCTATACTGCCTCATCCAATAAAAACACATATTTGGTCAAATCCACTGTATCATGTCAGTCTGCCATATATAAGTAATATCTGTCATGTCAGGTCTTGGTCTGATGTGACTGAGCTACCGTCTTAACTGTAGCCAGCACTATGCGTCTTCTGTTTTGTGGCGTATACCAAACCTGACAACTATTAGCCATCGGACGTTGGGGTTCATACTGAGGGGAGGATCTATGGACATGTCCGGAGTGCAGTGATGATAACCAAACTAACTAACTAACTAACTGACTGACTGACTGACGGTCGGACCGACCGACCGACCGACCGACCGACTGACTGACCGACCGACCAAACCAAAACCAAACCAAACCAAACCAAACCAAACCAAACCAAACTAAACTAACTAAACTAAAACTAAACTAAACTACTAAACTAAACTAAACTAAACTAAACTAAACTAAACTAAACTAAACTAAACTAAACTAACTAACTAACTAACTAACTAACTAACTAACTAACTAACTAACTAAACTAAACTAAACTAAACTAAACTAACTAACTAACTAACTAACTAACTAACTAACTAACTAACTAACTAAAACTAAACTAAACTAACTAACTAAACTAACTAACTAACTAACTAACTAACTAACTAACTAACTAACTAACTAACTAAAACTAACTAACTAACTAACTAAACTAAACTAAACTAAACTAAACTAACTAACTAACTACTAAACTAACTAAAACTAACTAACTAACTAAACTAAACTAAACTAAACTAAACTAACTAACTAACTAACTAACTAACTAACTAACTAACTAACTAACTAACTAACTAACTAACTAACTAACTAACTAACTAACTAACTAACTAACTAACTAACTAACTAACTAACTAACTAACTAACTAACTAACTAACTAACTAAACTAAACTAAACTAACTAACTAACTAACTAACTAACTAACTAACTAACTAACTAACTAAACTAAACTAAACTAAACTAACTAACTAACTAAACAAACCTGACATCCCATACATTGGGAAGGATTCTGACCTTGTCCTAGGAAGAGGAAATGCAGCCTGAAAACTTTATGTAATGTTAGGGCAGACCAGGCCCTCAGCCTTGGCTGGCAGCTGATCTAGGAGGGAAGCTCTGACAGGCGATTAGATAGATGACCTTCTAATCCGGCAGCTTCTGCAGCCTGCTTGATTCCAAACATACTTTGGAGTAAACAAGACAGGTCGAGAGAGAGAGATCATGAAGTATGGGCAACATATGGTCTCTACAATACCAGCCAGACTTTGTGCTATGGAGAGGAGGAATAAAAAGAATCATAAACTTTTCTGAACACTGTTGAGTTTTGCTAGTCACACTCGCCATCACCATGGGCTGTGAGTTCCATGTCTCCTCATAGCACGATATGACACTCTTATCTGGAAAGACACAAGGTGCCAATGAATGTAAGTTTGCATAGAGTTTGACATAAGTTGAGAACCTAATCTCCATTGAAAGACAAAAGGAAAAAAGAAGACTGCATGTGTTAAATTCTTCTTTCTTCTTCTTTCATTAACTTGAAATAGATAATGTATATCTGCAATTTTATCTCTGGTGTGAACTTCACTGTCTGTTGTATTTCAATCAGCGACACTAAAGTTCAGCTTGCACTGGTGTTCATATATTAAAGTCATGTCAGAGACAGGTTCAGCAAAATAAACAAGAAAACAGGCAAGGAGTAACCAAAAACATTGTTGTCAGCGTTTGGTGTTTAATGCTGACAAATAAAAAAAAACTGGTCTTTTCTCCAACAGTGACTGGTGTCTGTCCAGACAGTTGTGGTGGGGACACAGGATTCCAGTCTACACATGTGCTGTAAGTGTGTGTCTGTGAGAGATAGAAAGATATTTTGGGTTAAAGGTGTGGGTTTGATTCCCCTGCTATAAGTGTTTGTCTTTGAGAGATATCTTGGGTTGAAGGTCTGTGTTTGATTCCCCTGCTGTAAGTGTGTGTCTGTGAGAGAGATCTCTGGTTGAAGGTCTGGGTTTGATTCCCCTGCTGTAAGTGTGTGTCTGTGAGAGATATCTTGGGTTGAAGGTCTGGGTTTGATTCCCCATCTGTAAGTGTGTGTCTGTGAGAGAGATCTTGGGTTGAAGGTCTGGGTTTGATTCCCCTGCTGTAAGTGTGTGTCTGTGAGAGATATCTTGGGTTGAAGGTCTGGGTTTGATTCCCCTGCTATGAGTGTGTGTCTGTGAGAGATATCTTGGGTTAAAGGTGTGGGTTTGATTCCCCTGCTATGAGTGTGTGTCTGTGAGAGATATCTTGGGTTGAAGGTCTGGGTTTGATTCCCCTGCTGTAAGTGTGTGTCTGTGAGAGAGATCTCGGGTTGAAGGTCTGGGTTTGATTCCCCTGCTGTAAATGTGTGTCTGTGAGAGATATCTTGGGTTGAAGGTCTGGGTTTGATTCCCCTGCTGTAAGTGTGTGTCTGTGAGAGATCTTAGGTTGAAGGACTGGGTTTGATTTCCCTGCTGTAAGTGTGTGTCTGTGAGAGATCTTGGGTTGAAGGGCTGGGTTTGATTTCCCTGCTGTAAGTGTGTGTTTGTGAGAGAGATCTCTGGTTGAAGGGCTGGGTTTGATTCCCCTTCTGTAAGTGTGTGTCTGTGAGAGAGATCTCTGGTTGAAGGGCTGGGTTTGATTCCCCTGCTGTAAGTGTGTGTCTGAGAGAGAGATCTCGGGTTGAAGGTCTGGGTTTGATTCTCCTGCTATAAGTATGTCTGTGAAAGTGATTATGGCGTGTAAGTGCAGGTTTGTTTTCTGTTTCATGTAAAGCAGTTTTAGAACTGATCTTGCTTGCAGCAGAGCTTTACAAAAATGAAAAGTCACTCCTGAAGCCATCTGAAATAAAACAACAGGAAATAATGAGTAATGGCAACCTGCAGGATACTGACCAGTTATCCAATGAATGTCAGTCGATCTGTAAACATGTCGGGCTGTATGTCTGAATATACCTGACAACATCATTAAGGGTCAAACTCTCTCTCTCCCCTTCCCCCCCCCCCCTCTTATGCGCATGCATTTTACGACCCAGGCCTTTGTATTTTTTCTTGATATTCATAATATACATATTATTATTATATGAACATAACATGCTGTAATGACTGCCCTTCTGTCTCCTCCACACTGGATATCTCTGGTGCAGAGTTAACACTGGCTCTGATGTCTAGAGGGTCACAGCTCAATCAAAGCAGACATGATCTCTCTTCACGGTCACACGACTTCTAACAACGGTTGACACCAGCGGCACATTTCACGAGTTTATTATCACTGTAGCACAATACACGAATCACAGGAGAATCCACTTACAGCATTCGGACAATGGACGCTGACATATTCACGGCTGGCTTCAACAATCAAACAGGGTAACATAACAGCTGGCCTTCACGATCATTCATTCGACGCTGATTCAGATCCACATGCTCTCGTCATTCTCGATTCATCTTCACAGCTTCAGTTGCACTTCCTTCCAGTCTGGGGCCCAGTCACCGAATGACCGTCTGATTCTCAATCCCCCAGATCTCATCATTCACACGTAACTCACTCTTTCCTGTCGTTTCACCATATCTCCGTGAAACCCATGCTCTCAGGGACTTCCCCAATTATGCCAGTCATCCCCTGACGTTATCCCTATTTATAGCATCATTACACATGCTTTATTAATAAAACACAACTGCTATGTGAAAAATGTGTGTTTGGAAAGGCCGAATGTAATATAACCATGCGTGTCAAATCTTTGACCCTTTGAAAATGTGTTTCTTCTATCTCTATGTGTATGGGTGTGTGTGTGTCTATATATACAATTTATTATCCAGAGATCATTTCCACTTGCACAGAATTCAAGAAAACTATCAAAAAGTCTAATGTTTACTTAACTAACAACTTTTAATTGTTTATTTGGTTATACGGACTGTTTTTATTTGAAATGTAAATTCCTGTCTGTGTATGATAACACAGAACAGCAATGTGACAGTCTGTGCCCGGTCAGAAGTTGAAGCCAGAGAGAAACTGGAGCAAAAACATGGACTTAGATCTGTGGAAGTTGTACAGGGTATGTTTGTTGAACTTTTAGATTTGTTAAAATCTGTGGAAGTTGTATAGGGTATGTTTTTGAACTTTTAAATTTGTTCAGATCTGTGGAAGTTGTATAGGGTATGTTTGTTGAACTTTTAGATTTGTTCAAATCTGTGGAAGTTGTATAGGGTATGTTTTTGAACTTTTAAATTTGTTCAGATCTGTGGAAGTTGTATAGGGTATGTTTGTTGAACTTTTAGATTTGTTCAAATCAGTGGAAGTTGTACAGGGTATGTTTGTTGAACTTTTAGATTTGTTCAAATCTGTGGAAGTTGTACAGGGTATGTTTGTTGAACGTTTACATTTGTTCAAATCTGTGGAAGTTGTACAGGGTATGTTTGTTGAACTTTTAAATTTGTTCAAATCTGTGGAAGTTGTACAGGGTATGTTTGTTGAACATTTACATTTGTTCAAATCTGTGGAAGTTGTACAGGGTATGTTTGTTGAACTTTTAAATTTGTTCAAATCTGTGGAAGTTGTACAGGGTATGTTTGTTGAACTTTTACATTTGTTCAAATCTGTGGAAGTTGTACAGGGTATGTTTGTTGAACTTTTGGATTTGTTCAAATCTGTGGAAGTTGTACAGGGTATGTTTGTTGAACTTTTAAATTTGTTCAAATCTGTGGAAGTTGTACAGGGTATGTTTGTTGAACTTTTACATTTGTTCAAATCTGTGGAAGTTGTACAGGGTATGTTTGTTGAACTTTTGGATTTGTTCAAATCTGTGGAAGTTGTACAGGGTATGTTTGTTGAACTTTTAGATTTGTTCAAATGTGTGGAAGTTGTACGGGGTATGTTTGTTGAACGTTTGGATTTGCTCAAATCTGTGAAAGTTGTTCAGGGTATGTTTGTTGAATTGTGGGTTTTGATAATTGGGAAAGGTCATTCTCCTTCTTCTCTTTCACTGTTGTTCAAGAAATGTCTACACAAGGTCTGCTTTGTGTATGTGTCTATATATATTATATATTGTATCTGAGAGTTTATTGAGGCCCCTAATGTGTGAATGTTTGTCTCTATAAAGTAAAAGTAAAGGACCTTTTCCAGACCTTCAGGGTGTGTCTCTATATGATAGTTTGTATGAGTTATTGTTACACCAGTGATATTGTGTGTGTGTGTGTATGTGTGTGGGGAGGGGGGAATTGCATGTGTGCATGCATGTGTGTGTGCACAGTAAGTTTCATGGGATTCAGGTGGGTGGGTATATGTAGTTCATGTCTGATATGTTGAAATGTGTTTATTGTTTTTGATTTTTTTGAGAACTTTGTTAAAGTTATATCATATAATTAGTGTAATTCAGACCCTTTTCAAAAAGTAAAAAGAAGCAAATGTGATTTTCTAATGTCTCCAGATGCAGATGTCCTTGACACTTGGTTCTCTTCTTCACTCCTGCCATTTTCAACCTTTGGTTGGCCCACGTCTGCAAATGATTCATTGGTTGAGGAAAACAATTCTTCATCAGCTTTGTTTGAACCTGTAAGTAGCTCACAGTTTTGCAACAATCTTCTGACAGTTTTATTTTAAATACTTTTAGTTCTAAACCTTTCAGTCCGTAAGGTTTTGCAGCAGACGTCAAAGAGGGGAAACAGCCACTGTGAAAAATCATGAGTGCACTACTTTCAAAGAGGCTAAATAGAAAGTAAATACAAAGTAATTAATGAAAAAGCCCGATTTTGATTCCATTTCAGCAGCACACTGGCTGTACACACACACCTGCTGTTCATCTCATATGAACAGTTAAGGAGGCCAGCGGTGCCTTCTCTATGACCACCAGCAGCATGACGACGGAGGCGATGGCGGTGACACAGGCTTTCATGTGGCTGGGATCACAGGACTATTCCCGCATGTGCGTGCTGAGTGATTCTTTGAGCATGATCCTGCGGGTCGAGGCAGGCTTGTTAAGCAGACAGTGGTTTGAGTCGTTGCAAAATTCTCCATGTGTGTGCAGTTACTTTCATATTCGTCCCAGGGTATGCAGGTGTTGTTGGTAATGAGAGAGCTGATAGACTGGCAGATGCTGCATTAATTGAAGATGGTCGCCCCATGGATCAGGCAGACATTGTCATTGCCCTTAGAGAGATAGGACGTTCCAAGAATTTTGGAAGCAGCGTGTCCACATCACTACTAGGAATACGCGAATTAGGAGTAAAGATCGGCACAGCCAAGCATGAGAAGCGCACTGGATGCACACAAAGTCTTGTTAACAACATAGGACTGGCACTATTACCGTGCAACGCTGATGAATATGTTGAGAGGGGAATCTGAGCGCTAATGGATGTGTCCGGAGTGCTGTGAAGATAATCTAACTCGTAACTCCTCATATGTTCTTTCTTAGAGATGAGATAGTGCTTGAACAGTACTGTAAGTGTCTTAGAATTCATGTATCACACATCACACTGCAGCTTCTCCTTATATCTGCCTTATACCCCCAGATTCTCAAAGGCCAGCAGCATTTTCGACAGAGTTTATAAAAGCATCTGAAACAGAAGTGGTATCTCCCTGCTGACCAAACTAAAGGTTTACACAGCTGTAATTCTTCCACTACTGCTCTACGTTTGTGAAACATGGACTGCGTATCAGCGCCATGCTAAAAAGTTGAACCAGTTTCATATAACCTGTCTCAGAAAGCTGCTCAAAATCAAATGGCAAGATAAGATCCCAAATACTGTGGTTCTTGATAGGGCAAACCTGCCTAGCATCCACACGATACTGAAGAACTGTCAGCTGTGTTGGGCTGGTCACCTAGCCCGCATGCCAGACTATCTCCTCCCAGAGAGAGTATTTTATGGCGAGCTCCAGCATAGGGAAGAGATCACTGGGAGGACAGAAAAAGTTCTATAAGGACACTCTGAAGCCTGCTCTCAATTCTTTTGGTATTAATACAGCAACATGGGAGGCTGCTGCACAAGACCGTTCTGGATGGCGTACGTCCCTCAGGTATGGTGCATTAGCCTGCTAGGCAGCAGAGGTTGCACAGTCAGAGAAATAGGCAGACGAGAAAGAACCATATTGCTAATTCCACTCCTAGTGCAGCTTCCACCTGTTGTCCGCACTGCTCAAGAACTTTCCAGGCTCATATTGGATTAATCAGTCACCTCCGTACTCACAAACGTGGACAAACAGCAACAGCCTTATACTCTCAGTTGCCAGTGTGCATGCTTCTGTCTTTTGCCAACAAATATACACTGACCCACAACATGTGGGCCAGAACCTGCCTGCTGCATCTGCCCACACAACTTCTCTACCAGTTGTACCAGAATCGTTGTCAGCTTTTGATGACAGGATTTATTTTGTGTTTAATGAGTCAAGTTTGTACATAAATTTCTTGTTTGTATGAACCAGAATTCAGTACATTGATAGTCACAGCCCTGTTTCCTGTCTGACACACATCACAAACTGCGCATTGACTGGCACTCCGATGTTTTGTTATGTCATGTGCAAATCAGATTGTATGTTGATTGTCATCTCTCTTGTCAGACGTCAGATCTCGTCAAGTATTTTCCCACAAACCCTGCTGGAGACAGGCCAGGACATTCTCTTTTTCTGGGTTGCCAGGATGGTCATGCTAAGTCTGCAGCTGACTGGCCAGGTGCCATTTAAACAGGTGAAGTAGGACAAATTTGCTTGGTTATGTGTTTGTTTACTTAGATTGCTGCTCATGTGCATACATTTTTACATGAGCCAGTGTGGGTGCATTTTTGTATGTACAAATGAGGATACATTTCTAAACATATTTACTGGTGTGTATGCGTGGGGGGGGGGGGGGGGGGGGGGGGGAGTTGAAGAGGGGAAGATTTATTTATTTTTGCAACCAGAAAAGATCTATAAATCAGTTGTCTGTCTATTCACTACATGACACTTTGACATTACAGATTACACTTATTGAATGCTGGCCCTAGAATAAAAGTAAAAAGTAAAGGACCATTTTACACACTTTGAGGCCAATAGGGCATATATCTTTATACATCATCAGTCACCACTCGGTGGGTATGTGGTCAACATCACACCGGCCACCTTTACCTCCCAGGACTTAAGTACTCATTTGAGGTTGATTGGGGGGTGGGGTTGGGGGGTTGGGTTGGGGGGGGGGGGGGGGGCTTTGGATGTTTTTTTTTTTCCATTTTGTAAAGAAAGTCCTGCTCTGTGAGGATCTGAGCCCACAACAGACCTAGAACAATCCATGTCAGATATCTGTGTCACTTCACTCAGTTACCTACCTAGTTCTTTGTCACTTCACTCAGTTACCTACCTAGTTCTGTGTCACTTCACTCAGTTACCTACCTAGTTCTTTGTCTCTTTACTTAGTTACCTACCTAGTTCTGTGTCACTTCACTTAGTTACCTACCTAGTTCTTTGTCACTTCACTTAGTTACCTACCTAGTTCTTTGTCACTTCACTTAGTTACCTACCTAGTTCTTTGTCACTTCACTTAGTTATCTACCTAGTTCTTTGTCACTTCACTTAGTTACCTACCTAGTTCTTTGTCACTTCACTTAGTTACCTACCTAGTTCTGTGTCACTTCACTTAGTTACCTACCTAGTTCTTTGTCACTTCACTTAGTTACCTACCTGAGTTCTTTGTCACTTCACTTAGTTACCTACCTAGTTCTTTGACACTTCACTTAGTTATCTACCTAGTTCTTTGTCACTTCACTTAGTTACCTACCTAGTTCTTTGTCACTTCACTTAGTTACCTACCTAGTTCTGTGTCACTTCACTTAGTTACCTACCTAGTTCTTTGTCACTTCACTTAGTTACCTACCTAGTTCTTTGTCACTTCACTTAGTTACCTACCTAGTTCTGTGTCACTTCACTTAGTTACCTACCTAGTTCTTTGTCACTTCACTTAGTTACCTACCTAGTTCTTTGTCACTTCACTTAGTTACCTACCTAGTTCTTTGTCACTTCACTTAGTTACCTACCTAGTTCTGTGTCACTTCACTTAGTTACCTACCTAGATCTGTGTCACTTCACTTAGTTACCTACCTGAGTTCTTTGTCACTTCACTTAGTTACCTACCTGAGTTCTTTGTCACTTCACTTAGTTACCTACCTAGTTCTTTGTCACTTCACTTAGTTACCTACCTAGTTCTTTGTCACTTCACTTAGTTATCTACCTAGTTCTTTGTCACTTAACTTAGTTACCTACCTAGTTCTTTGTCACTTCACTTAGTTACCTACCTAGTTCTGTGTCACTTCACTTAGTTACCTACCTAGTTCTTTGTCACTTCACTTAGTTACCTACCTGAGTTCTTTGTCACTTCACTCAGTTACCTACCTAGTTCTTTGTCACTTCACTTAGTTACCTACCTGAGTTCTTTGTCACTTCACTTAGTTACCTACCTAGATCTTTGTCACTTCACTTAGTTACCTACCTGAGTTCTTTGTCACTTCACTTAGTTACCTACCTGAGTTCTTTGTCACTTCACTTAGTTACCTACCTGAGTTCTTTGTCACTTCACTTGGTTACCTACCTAGTTCTTTGTCACTTCACTTGGTTACCTACCTGAGTTCTTTGTCACTTCACTTAGTTACCTACCTGAGTTCTTTGTCACTTCACTTAGTTACCTACCTGAGTTCTTTGTCACTTCACTTGGTTACCTACCTAGTTTTTTGTCAGTCATTCATACTCTGTTAACCCACCCTTGGTGCATAGGCGAGAATGGAACAGTGATATTTTTGTAACCACTCCTTCTACAGTCAAAAAATAAATGATCTGTAAGATTTCAAGGGCTGTCAGTTAGAATAAAACATGTAATGGTTTACAATCAATGTCTGCATCAGGTACTACTGCATGGAATGATCCGAGATGCTCAAGGTCGCAAGATGAGCAAATCTTTAGGCAATGTCATTGACCCAGTTGACGTCATCCAAGGAGCCTCGTTGCAGGTTTGTATTGTCCTTTTATCATTTCTGGTTTTCTGAATTATCTAGTGGATCTTGCCAACATTTTTCATGTCTGCTACTTAATTAGGTACAGTTATTTGTTCTTGTTCATTCAAGTCTGCCTCTAGTCTGGGATATGGAGATATCTTATAATTTTGGTTTTGTTTAGTCTTCCCTCTTCTTACCTGAGATGTAGAGATTTCTTAAAGTCCTCTTTAGTTTCTCCTCTTCTTCTCTAGATTGTTAAGCTACCTTCAAGGTATCTGAATGCAATAGCAAAGGATAGGACAGCTTGGCCTGAAGTTTTTAGTTAAGGATCTTTGTTCCATTAGGGATAAAGAGTAGAAGAAGCAAACATGTCATAATAGGCAACTAATTGAAGGTTTTCCTTTTGAATTTACGTATACATGTATCTGCCTGAGAGGCAAGGAACCAACAGACTGCATACATGTAAGCCAGATCTGTAAAACAAATGTGCACGCAAAACTCAAATTCTGGTACAAGACTAAAGTCCAGATGTGGGTGAATAACCAGAACTTTCTGCTGGAAATTACAGCCGGTGAACACTTAAAAGAAGAAGACAGCCTAGCTGTAAACCACATGCTTATAAGAGCAAATACAGAACAAGAGGAGGAGGAGGAAAAGAAGAAGAAGAAAAAGGAGAAGACAAAGAAGTGGAAAAAGGAGATGAAGAAGAAGAGGAAGGAGAAGAAGAAGATACAATATTGAATTATGGTTGTAGAGATATTTTTCAGACATTCATGTATTTTCTAAAAAACCTTCTAATATGTTTCTTTTCACGTTTTTCTGCCTTTCTGGTTTTCATTGATCAGGATTTGAATTCGCGTCTGGACAAAGGAAATCTGGACCCCAGAGAGATCCAGCTGGCTAAAGCAGGACAGAAGAAATTATTCCCAAAAGGCATTCCTTGCTGTGGTGCCGATGCTTTGAGACTCACATTATGTTCTTACAACTTGCAGAGTTTGTATTATTTTGTTTACACTGTTGTTATTATTGTTGTAAATGAGAGAGAGAGAGAAAGAGAGCAAGTGAGGATGACAGAGAGAGAGAGTATGTATGTGTTGTTTGTCTCTGCCGTGCTGTTACCTGAAAAGCATGACACCCTGAGATCAGAAGATCTCAATCTGAATGGCAGACCAACAAGACCTGAAGGTTTGACACCGTGAGATCAGAAGATCTCAATCTGAATGGCAGACCAACAAGACTTGAAGGTTTGACACCGTGAGATCAGAAGATCTCAATCTGAATGGCAGACCAACAAGACTTGAAGGTTTGACACTGTGAGGTTTAAGAATCTCAGTGCTGATGGCAGACCAACAAGACCTGAAGGTTTGACACCGTGAGATCAGAAGATCTTAATCTGAATGGCAGACCAACAAGACCTGAAGGTTTGACACCGTGAGATCAGAAGATCTCAATCTGAATGGCAGACCAACAAGACTTGAAGGTTTGACACTGAGAGGTTCAAGAATCTCAGTGCTGATGGCAGACCAACAAGACTTGAAGGTTTGACACCGTGAGATCAGAAGATCTCAATCTGAATGGCAGACCAACAAGACCTGAAGGTTTGACACCGTGAGATCAGAAGATCTCAATCTGAATGGCAGACCAACAAGACTTGAAGGTTTGACACTGTGAGGTTCAAGAATCTCAGTGCTGATGGCAGACCAACAAGACTTGAAGGTTTGACACCGTGAGATCAGAAGATCTTAATCTGAATGGCAGACCAACAAGACCTGAAGGTTTGACACCGTGAGATCAGAAGATCTCAATCTGAATGGCAGACCAACAAGACTTGAAGGTTTGACACTGAGAGGTTCAAGAATCTCAGTGCTGATGGCAGACCAACAAGACTTGAAGGTTTGACACCGTGAGATCAGAAGATCTCAATCTGAATGGCAGACCAACAAGATCAGAAGGTTTGACACCGTGAGATCAGAAGATCTCAATTCTGATTAAAACAAGAATAGACCCACTGCCTCCCCAAAAAGCATTTTGTAACAGTCAACTAACTGGGCGCTACTTTCCAAGTCTGAATGCATCTGCCTGAGAGGAAAGGGACCAAAAGTCTGCATACAAATAAGTGAGATCTGTAAAAAGGATGTGCACACAACACTCAGGTTCTGGAACAAGACTAAAGTCCAGAAGTGGACAAACAACCAGAACTTTCTGCTGGAGTTGATAGCAGGTGGACAAACAACCACAACTTTCTGCTGGAGTTGATAGCAGGTGGACAAACAACCACAACTTTCTGCTGGAGTTGATAGCAGGTGAACAAACAACCAGAACTTTCTGCTGGAATTGATAGCAGGTGGACAAACAACCACAACTTTCTGCTGGAATTGATAGCAGGTGGACAAACAACCACAACTTTCTGCTGGAGTTGATAGCAGGTGAACAAACAACCACAACTTTCTGCTGGAGTTGATAGCAGGTGGACAAACAACCACAACTTTCTGCTGGAATTGATAGCAGGTGGACAAACAACCACAACTTTCTGCTGGAATTGATAGCAGGTGGACAAACAACCACAACTTTCTGCTGGAGTTGATAGCAGGTGAACAAACAACCACAACTTTCTGCTGGAGTTGATAGCAGGTGGACAAACAACCACAACTTTCTGCTGGAGTTGATAGCAGGTGAACAAACAACCACAACTTTCTGCTGGAGTTGATAGCAGGTGGACAAACAACCACAACTTTCTGCTGGAGTTGATAGCAGGTGGACAAACAACCACAACTTTCTGCTGGAATTGATAGCAGGTGAACAAACAACCACAACTTTCTGCTGGAGTTGATAGCAGGTGGACAAACAACCAGAACTTTCTGCTGGAGTTGATAGCAGGTGAACAAACAACCAGAACTTTCTGCTGGAGTTGATAGCAGGTGGACAAACAACCAGAACTTTCTGCTGGAATTGATAGCAGGTGGACAAACAACCACAACTTTCTGCTGGAATTGATAGCAGGTGAACAAAAAAAATACGAGGACACGAGTTGCTCAGTGTTTTTAAATCTCTGACTCAGTACAGATTTGAACCCATTATCACAGGGCTGGCAGCAAGCATGCTAGCTACTCCCTGTTAATAATAGCTTTTTACAAAACAAAACAAACACTTTATTTTTAATTGTCTTCTTTCTCTGTATTTTCAGACGCGGATATAAACTTTGATGTGATTCACGCTGAGAGTAAACTCCGATTCTGCAACAAAATCTGGCAGTCATTCAGATTCATATTTTCCAAACTTCAGCCAGCAGTTGTCACAGAGGGAACATTTCAGGCGAGTTGTGATTACACACTCCTCATTCTTGTTGTGCAAGCAATGTACTGTATGTTATTGGTTCTGCATACTAATACAGTAGAGTCTGGATAAGCAGAAGTAGCAGGGACCTAAGAAAATGCTTCCACTGACCAGGACTTCTGCTTATCCAGACAGCACACACAATAGAGACAATTGCCGGGACTAAGTTGGTCATGTCGACTTAACCGAAATTCGACTTCTCCGGGTTCGACTCAAGTGGACTCGACTGTAATTTTGTGTGGGTTCCAGGGCTCCATTTTGGGGAGAGAAAGAAAAATGGCCCCAATGTTGTCTGACAATCGTGTCATAAACCGTTATTAATTAGAGGTTTTGGAGAAGTGGATGGGTTGGGATAAAGGTGCAGATATTGCAGCCTAGCTGTAAGCCACAAAACAAGGTTACAGCTGTCAAAACAAGGTGAAGCAGAATTAGAAGAATAAAGAAGACACACAAAAAAGCAGAAAGTACAGCTGATTGCCTGGCATATTTTACTGTAATTTTTCAGTTATTTGCCCCTGTCATCTGCTACTGTGTAAACAGAAAGACTTGGTGGTGAGCTTGCGATTACCATGCTAACTCAGGTGGTTACATTTCATGTTAGTGTGTGTGTGTGTCTCAGAACCGTATTTTATAGACAGTCAACACCAGAAAAGTGGTGCGGTTTATGTCATGCCAACTGTTTTCACTTTCCAGAGTTTCCTGTTACCTATGTCAGGCACAGGAGGTTAGAAACAAAAGTTGTGTTTGGCTGATTTTAACATGTGGCTGTACAACGTAATCAGTTAATAAACAATTTATTGATGCCTCAGAGATGTGGTTTTTTAGAAAAATGCTTACAATTCTTAACAGCCATAATAAATAATCCAGATGTTCTGAAAGAGGTGAGAGCCCAAGACAGCCTGACACAAACACCAGAAGACAGTCATCATTTTGTTGTTGTTGGCCAGGCTATGTGAAGAGAAATTGAAACATAGTATGACATTTGGAAAGATTTGTGGAGAGAGAGATACAAAAAGACAACTCAAGGCAAATCGTGGCAGTCTTTTGTCCTGGTGTGGAGGGGTGTCAGCACATGAACTGATGCATGTTTGAGATCATAGATTGTGGAGAGGCATGAACATCCAAGCAAGTCAGCAAGGTACTTGATGATGTTGATTTAAGGCTAGGCTGACTTAGGAGCCAAGGACAATGAAAAAAAAACATGTCTGCCTCTAGAGATTCGAACACACAACCATCAGGCACCATGCATGTGTGTTAGCCACTACTCTACATTGGCTTTCTTGATCTCCTTGCTTACCAGTCAACACAAAATCAACCATCCAAATACAGACAAAAAAGACAAATTATAGATGCAACCTACTTACCAACCTCATGCTATCAGTGTCAGAGTTGGACGTTAACTAAATAAAGAACATGACAGAAAACTGACCACCTGTGAAATTAAAATATGTGAAAAAGGTCTTGAACAAAACTAGAAAAGATTATGTAACAAACGAAATCTCTCACAGCAAGTGACCAGGAAATCTGGCCATGACTGTGCGTCTGCTGGAAAGCTCCGACAGACAGATCATTAAACTGCTACTGTCACCATCAGAATTGGAACTCTTCTGTGGCTGCTGAAGATGGTGCATTCAAAAGGTGCTGATTTTGCGTAGCATTGAGTACAGACATTTAAAAAAGCCCTGTGAGGGATATATTCGTCCGCAACTTTTATGATTAGTACATGCATGTGGATTGCACAAATTAAAATGTTTAAATATTATTATTTAAATTGGAACTCTGTTGGCTGCTGCTGATAATGAGGATGGGGCACTTATGGGAATGTGCAGAGTGTTACGATTTCGTTTCTCAACTTATTGTATACTGTTTAAGACACTGACATTGTGTGTAAGGGCTATGATTTAGGAGCTAATAATGTGTTTTTGATAGTGATCATGTTTTTTAACGCTGACTTCTGTTTTATTCAGTGATGTTGTATTGTAGACACTGATCACATTTGGGTGTGTGTTGTTTCTTGCAGCTGTTGGGCCCTGAAGACAGCACAGATTTATGGATTCTGAGTCGGTTGAGTAGCCTGGTGCAGTCGTGTGACACTCACTTCCAGTCCTACAGCATTCACTTGGCAACAGCAGCTCTGCAGCAGTTTTGGCATCATGAATTGTGTGATGTTTACCTGGTACGTGACCCGTTCGTATTGTCAGTGTCTCAAATAATTAAGCACCGGTCTGCCAGGTATATCTTAAAGTGTGGATAAGGTCACTTACCTGTTTTTTAAAACTTGACTTCAAGGTTTACCCTGAAAATTATTAGTTAGTTGCGTATCCTATATAGTATGTTGCAGAACCAATCCCATCATTTTTTTTGCTGTTGTGGTTTTCCTAGGCAAATTTATGTCCAGTAGTTTGCCATTGCTTCTGGACGGTCAGCTTCTCGAAACCAACGCAAGGCACAAGGCCCTTACATGGGATCGAACCCAGCACTACGAAGCGCGTTCGTAACGCCTAAGCCACAGATGAAAATGATTAGCAGGAATGTAAAACGCTGAACAGAAAAAAACTAACCAGATCAGCCACTGAGTGTGGTTTGGTCATGATAGGGGACCAGAAACAGGTGTCCGACATGCAGAAATAAGATACGATTGGTCAGATATCGATTCATGGTAACTATAGCTTTTTTCCTGTATGGGTTCCTGGGCCTTACTTCAGGGGGTTCAAGGGGGAGGGGAGAATAGACCCACGGACTCGTACAAGACATTTAATTAAGGGATGTTTATTTCACAGTCAGAGTACATCAGTTTGAGAGGGGAGGAACCAACAGTCTGCATACAAATTAGCCAAATCTGTTCTTGAACGAGACCAAAGTCCAAAAGTGTACAAACAACCAGAGAACTGTTCGTCCTACTTCTTCCTGCAAATGATCAGTGTATGCCAACTTGTTACAACATGCGTGTATGGTGTGGAGGCGAGGTTCTGTTTAATATTTACTTTAAGGTAGACAAGACAATGTTTTAAAAACGAAAAAAAAAAGGCTAACATGGCTGAATTAAAACAGATAAATTGTTTGTTAAAAACAGGAAGCTGTGAAACCAGTTTTCATTGGTCAGGATGAGAAACGACAGGAAGCTGTCCGACAGGTTCTGGCATTCTGTTCGCAGACATTTCTGTACATGATTGCACCATTCATGCCATTTCTGAGTGAAGAGCTCTTCCAGAGACTACAGCCGTTTTACACCAGAAAGCAAATGCCTTGGCCAGAGAGCATTTGTGTGGCTCCTTTCCCACGCCCATCAGAGGTCGGTTTGTAGAGTTTTGTTTCATGTCTGTTTTAGTTTCACATTTTACATACGTAAATAGAAAGGATGTTAATTATTTCACCATCAGCCAGTTTTACTTTAATTTGTCATCATCATGATGTGCCATGCCAGTAAATGAAGGCTGTCACGTTTCGCCATCTTACACGATCACCAGAATCTCAGATCAGTTCAATGTTTTTGTCTTGCCCCAGCCATCTGGCCAGGCATTGATCTTTTTGCCTTTCTCCTGCCCTCTTTCCATCAATCTTGCCAGATTTCACCAGGTTCTCATGTCCATTCCTCCTCAAAACATATTCAGAAATATTGACCATCTACGCCTGATTGTTCTACACATTTTACGACTTTCATCTGTCTCGATAAGGACTGGTTCGTTTGGGTTTCTGTCCTTCGATATTCTTCGCCTTCTTCTCATAAACCACACCTGTGCCGCAAGTAAATGTTTTTCATCTTGTCTACTTGTTTTCCATGTTTTACATACATGTATGTAACAAGAGAGGTTCTACATAACACTTGGACACTCTTCTTAATGCTGGGACTCTTTTGCATCTTGTTAAAGCCCACTTTTGCCATTGCGGTTCTTGTTCTTATTTTTGCAGTTTGTCATACCCTCATGAAATGCTTCTTTTAAGTAGCAACAGATGTATTTTTTTTTTTAAACTGATGCACTAGTACTGAGAGAAATATCTGTCAAAGAACTACAGATTATTTTACTGAATATTTTTATGAGATATATACTGACATTTTATGAGATATATACTGACATTTTATGAGATAAATACTGACATTTTATGAGATATATACTGACATTTTATGAGATAAATACTGACATTTTATGAGATAAATACTGACATTTTATGAGATATATACTGACATTTTGTGAGATATATAATGACATTTTATGAGATATATACTGACATTTTATGAGATAAAAATGTCAGTATATATCACATAAAAATATATATATCTATACTGACATTTTATTTTGTTACTTCAGTACCCCTGGCATAGTTCAGAGATAGAAGGAAACATGGCTCACATTCTCTCCATTGCCCGTCACGTGCAGCAGATGAGAACAGATTACAGTGTTTTGGGCAACAAGATCGACCGTGAGTAAATCTGTTTGATTCGTCTGCCAGGATAGTAAGATCATGATTGAAATGTGTGGGAGATAGTAAGACCATGATTGAAATGTGTGGAAGATAGTAAGATCATGATTGAAATGTGTGGGAGATAGTAAGACCATGATTGAAATGTGTGGGAGATAGTGAGATCATGATTGAAATGTGTGGGAGATAGTAAGACCATGATTGAAATGTGTGGGAGATAGTAAGACCATGATTGAAATGTGTGGGAGATAGTAAGACCATGATTGAAATGTGTGGGAGATAGTAAGACCATGATTGAAATGTGTGGGAGATAGTAAGACCATGATCGAAATGTGTGGGAGATAGTGAGACCATGATTGAAATGTGTGGGAGATAGTGAGACCATGATTGAAATGTGTGGGAGATAGTGAGACCATGATTGAAATGTGTGGGAGATAGTGAGACCATGATTGAAATGTGTGGGAGATAACAAGATATCATGTTTACTCTATGCCCAATAATGCTGCTAATCCAGCTCGGTTGCCCATTGCAGATCCCTGTAAATGCTTCAAAACTGACACAACATCAGAGAAAACTCTACCACAGCATGATGTGTCTATGCTCAAGGAAGCAAAAAGCAAAACCTTATATATTTCCAACACCCTAAGCAGCAAAATAGGAAGAGCAAAAATTGTACACAGTTTATTTTTTGATCAACAATTTACTACAGATATCTTTGTCTTTGTTTGCTTTTCTTGCATATTGTTTTCTCACAGTGGATTGGAAAGAACAGTAGTGGAAGGTATGGTATTTGGTAAGAGAGGCAGAGCCAACTAGCATGAAAATAGCACAGGACATAAGAGGCACTCTGGGCTGGTGAGCGACCGATGTTTCTTTTAGGGTGGGGGGCTGTGGCGGGAGCAACCACCCCTGAAGGAACTGCTACAGGACGATGATGACTGGTTTACATCCTAGCCTCATCATTTCTCTTCTTGTTGCTCCAGCAGCTATTCTAAGACACCTCATCTTTGTTTTCTTCTGTAGGTGTGAATTCGGAAACAAAAATAATTTAATTTTGGACCATGAGCCACCTTGGTGCGGGGGCTAGATGGTCACCTGAGGATCCGAAGGACCTGGGTTCTAATCCAAAAGGTGCCAGACCTTTTTTAAAAAAAATGATCTTGTCTTCCAGGTCGACCCGGCCTTGAATGGATACCAGGTATAGTCCAGGGAAGTAAAGGCGGCTGGTGTGATGTTGACCACATCACCCACCCAGTGCAGATTGGTCTATAAAATGTAGGTCTAGCCCTATATGCCCAAGAAGCCTGAAGGTGTGGAAAAGGTCCTTTGTTACTTTTCTTAATTTTGCACCAGTTTACCTGGAGACCAACAGTGGCCAGATTATGGAAGCAGTTTCCAGTCATCATTCTTGCCTGCTTGTCCTCTCTCGAAGTTCTAGCATCACGATGTTGAGGCCGGGTGATGCTCCTCCAGCTGGGTGCCCATCCGTCTACGTGAATCCGGAAGTCAGGGTATTTATGAAGTTGCAGGTGAGAATCTTTTGCTGCTTGGGTGAATAGTTAATTTTCTATGAACACTGTTGCAAAGAGAAGCAACAAACCTGGCGGCACCTCCAGTTGATGCCATTGCCCTGAAGGAGTCACTTTCTTATCTTACTGTGGTGGCAGGTTTACAAGAATCATGCCTGCTCAGATGTAGCAGGGCTGGGAATGGATCTTCTTCTTCTTCCTCTTTTACCGCTGTGGGTGTCGAGGGAGATATACCGCTGTGGGTGTCGAGGGAGATATACCGCTGTGGGTGTCGAGGGAGATATAAGGTTCTGTTTCTAGCTCTTCTGGCCGCCTCGACCATAGGCACATCGTGCTGTTGTAGAGTTTCTCTGATGTTATCCTTCCATCTTGTTCTTGGTCTACCTCATGCTCTACGTCCTTCTTCTCTTTCCATGTATGCTTTGTATGGTATGGTATCACAAGGCATTCTCTCTAAGTGGGCAAACCATTTCACTTGCTGTCTTTGTATGTAATTTAGAATTGGTTCTGTGCCGACTTTTTCTCTTATGATCTCATTGCTGGGAATGGATACATTTACTAAAACTGATATTTATAGGCGTTTCCTTCTGAAAAAATTGGCTTTATTTATAGAAATTCTGAGGACATATTTTCCTGTCATTAGCCGTATTGTAACTGGGTCAAGTAGTTATGACACTTTAATTTAATTAAGCCGATTAATTCTTTGCTGCTTCATTTTTAAAGATTACTTCCTTTCATCTATATGTCTTTCAGTCAGTTTCTTTTTGTGCGATGTTTTGTTGTTGTTGTAGTGTGTAAATTGCTCAGGAATTGCAGAAATAAGGCAAATATAGGATCTTATAAATGTTTTTTTAAAATTCTATGTAGCTCAGGGAAAAGATTAAAAATTAGGAAAAGCTTGCAGACAGCTGAGATGTTATTTAAGGTGTAAATGTGGTGTTTGGGGTGACTGGTTTCTGAGATGGTTGTTATTTCTGGTGGATTTCTAAGGGGAATGTGGTTTTTGGTGATATTGTGGTTTGTGGGGTAACAAGTTATTAAAATGTAATAAGATAATTTACAAATCAGGGTAGTTAACTGCAGTGTGGACACTAAATTATAAATGGGTGGCAATGCTAAAGTGAGAAGTTAATGATCAAGTGAAACAGAACCCCATGTGGGTTCCAGGGCCCTGTAATAGGGAAAACAAGAATAGACCCACTGCCTACCCAAAAGCACTGTCGTAAGAGTCGACTGGGAGCTTCCTTCAAAGTCGGAGTGCATCTGCCCGAGAGGCAAGAACCAACAGTCTACACTCTAATGTGTCAGATCTGTCAAACGGATGCACACACAACACTCAAGTTCTGGAACAGGACTGCAGTCCAGAAACAACCAGACTTTCCACCAGAGTTTACAGCTGGTGAACGCAAAGAAGAAGAAGAAGAACTTAAGAAATGGATGGCAGCAGTTTGGCCATAATGTACAGCTAGAGTCAGAGAAATAGAGATCTTGTAGTTGACCTTTTTTTGTAGAGCTGGCCCGTGATTGGTTCATTTATTCTCAGGGTGGTGCTGCAGACATCGACAAAGAAAAGGAAAGACTGCACAAGAAAATTAGTAAGTTGGAGGCCAGCAAGGATGAATTGTCTGCCAAGCTAGAGAAGTTACAGCTGAAGGGAAAAACAGATCAGTCTGCAGCATTCTATCTGAAGGACAAGGTGAGTGCTAACTCTGTGTAACTCAGATGGTTAGTCTATGCAGCGTAACAGGTAGTGAAGCAGTTGTGTGTGTGCAGCGTAACAGGTAGTGAAGCAGTTGTGTGTGTGCAGCGTAACAGGTAGTGAGGCAGTTGTGTGTATGCAGCGTAACAGGTAGTGAGGCAGTTGTGCTTGTGCTGCATGAGAGGGATGGTGAAACAGTTATGCTTACAGCAGTAAGGACAGTATAACAAATAGTATAATCACCATTGGAGGCAGTGAGTAATAGAGTAGTAATATGTGAAAGTATCCCTGTACTAGAGTAGTAATATGTGAAAGTATCCCTGTACTAGAGTAGTAATATGTGAAAGTATCCCTGTACGAGAGTAGTAATATGTGAAAGTATCCCTGTACTAGAGTAGTAATATGTGAAAGTATCCCTGTACTAGAGTAGTAATATGTGAAAGTATCCCTGTACGGGAGTAGTAATATGTGAAAGTATCTCTGTACTAGAGTAGTAATATGTGAAAGTATCCCTGTACTAGAGTAGTAATATGTGAAAGTATCCCTGTACTAAGTAGTAATATGTGAAAGTATCCCTGTACTAGAGTAGTAATATGTGAAAGTATCCCTGTAATAGAGCATGAATATGCGAAAATGTCCCTGTAATAAAGTAGGAATATGTGAAAATGTCCCTGGAATAGAACAGAAATATGTGATGTCCATATAATAGAGCAGAAATCTGGGAAAATGTCCATAGAATGAAGCAGAAGTATGTAAACAAAACAAAAATGTGTGAATTGCTATAAGTGTTGAACTGTCCACAGATGACAGCCATTGACAGTGAACTGAACAAACTGTCACAGATGATGAGCGCACTGTCCAGTACCAGCGAGCTACACTGAAAGTGCCTGTGCTGGGTGAGGTGTCTGATGCCTGAATGCCACAAGCACCAGCATGGGTCCAGGTAGACTGATGCCATCAAAACATATGTTTGCTTGTGTCCACCAGGACTGAGTGAAACTATTTTGCTCCAGACTGACCAGCTGGACCTGTCTGGGTGACCAGTAGTTGTTTCAACTTTGGAGTAGTTGCTTTAACTTTGGAGTGTTTCAACTTTGGAGTAGTTGTTTCAACTTTGGAGTAGTTGTTTTAACTTTGGAGTAGTTGTTTCAACTTTGGAGTAGTTGCTTTAACTTTGGAGTAGTTGCTTCAACTTTGGAGTAGTTGTTTCAACTTTTTCAACTTTGGAGTAGTTGCTTCAACTTTGGAGTAGTTGCTTCAACTTTGGAGTAGTTGCTTCAACCTTGGAGTAGTTGCTTCAACTTTAGAGTCATTGTTTCAACTTTGGAGTAGTTGTTTCAACTTTGGAGTAGTTGCTTTAACTTTGGAGTGTTTCAACTTTGGAGTAGTTGTTTCAACTTTGGAGTAGTTGCTTCAACTTTGGAGTAGTTGCTTCAACTTTGGAGTAGTTGCTTCAACTTTGGAGTAGTTGTTTCAACTTTGGAGTAGTTGTTTCAACTTTGGAGTAGTTGTTTCAACTTTGCAGTAGTTGCTTCAACTTTGGAGTAGTTGCTTCAACTTTGGAGTAGTTGTTTCAACTTTTTCAACTTTGGAGTAGTTGCTTCAACTTTGGAGTAGTTTCAACTTTGCACAAAGAAATACTGTATATTATAAAAATTACAATACTTTATGTCACCAACTAGGAGTTAATTTGTTATGTCACCAACTTAGAGTTAATCTGTTGTGTCACCAACTTAGAGTTAATTTTTTTCTGCATTCTGAGTTCTTGAGGTTTATTGTTGCAGATCTCACCCACCTCCATTCATCTCTAGGACGGGTCTTCTCTGTTCATTTGGTGATCCCAGGATAGTTTGCTGTTTAAATTCATCCAGAATCAAGGCTTAAATATCTTTTTTTTTTTTTTATAATGAAGGTTTCACAAAGGTGTCTGTAACTGACTCACAGAGCATGCTGAGAAAGGTGGAGACAGGCATGCTCCATGCAGAGTGGCAAGCATCACTTCAAAGGGCGCGGGTAGTTAGCATCCTTTGGATATTTTTTCCATGTTGTGCCGGTGTGTTGGGAAAATGAGCAGGCAGATAGACTGGCCGGTTCTGCACCACTTGGTGGTGAACTGATGTATGATAAGCTGGATGTTGTGAGGGCCCTTTGGGAGCGAGTAAACAGTGCCGAGGCACATACAGATCAATATGGTCTGAGGAGAATGGCATTGCGAGGAGTTACAATACGGATGTACAATCAGACAGTTACTAGCACCATCAGAATTTTAACTTTTCGCTTACTGCTGAAGATGGGGGACGAAGCGCTTATCGGGGTATCCCGAGTGCTGTGATGTCGATTCTTAGTTCAACAAGTCAACAACTTACCACCAACAATGCCAGGTTGCTGGGGGGAAGATCTCTTGCCTTTTGGCGCAGAATATTGAGAACACAAAAAGCCAAAGTAGAACACATTTTAATGAAATACTGACCAATTCAAAAATATCATTACTATTTGTCTCAGCCAAATATTTTTTCTTTCTATACAAAAACTGGAAACCAGGATTCAAATTGTTGAAAATTAAAAACTAGAACAATGCAAATTACAACAAATGTGAACACAACCTTTGGAGTGAGGGGAAATCACATTAACAACATATGTCAGTAAAGGATTCTCCAATCAGAGAAATTAGAAATAGCCAGTCAGTGTTTTTCAAACATGTTATGACAAGGAACGCACTTGAGAACTTGGTGACGACTGACAAGATTAATGGAAAGAGAGCAAGGGGAAAGCAAACAGATAAATATCTGGATGACTTGGCCTAATGGGTGGGTGATGTGACAAGAACGCTGACCTGCTCCATGGTTCAGGTGATCATATGAGATGCTGAAACATGATAGCCCACATTTATCTGCACAGCACATGATGATGCTGGAGGATTCAGGTTATTAAACACAGCCATTAATTACACCAGCGGTTCTCAACCTGTTCTGAGTTGGGGCCTCATTTTTACAGAGGCAGACTGAAACCAATACACCTATACATTTAAAACACTGGCTTTTTAAAAAAACAGGGTAAATAAAAACACTGACCTGCACTTGTGTGAAACAAAAAGTCTCTGCAGAATGCACTGATTTGATTTTGGCTTTTGTACCTTTTTAAAATTTAACTCACTAAAACCCGTTCAACCACAAATGGGTTCATGACACATGGTTTGGGAGCCCATGTGTTAAACGAATCACTCAATTCATTTCTTCTTCTCTGGCCTATTCTGCCTTTCAGCGTCAGCTTTTGAAGAGGCATATCGTGGGTGACTCCTGCTGTGACAGTGACTTTCATCACTGAGGCTCTTGGGCAAATTTGACATTAACTTCACCTTAAAAAAGCTCAAGGATTTCTCTACTCCTCCCCCCCCCCCCCCCCCCCCCCCGCTTATTTTAGTTAACATATTGTTTTCATATTCAGCTTATGGAAAAAGTTGACTGGAAAAATTAATTGTAAAAAAGCTTTTGGCTCAAAGAACACCTCCTCCCCCTGTGCTGTTTTTAATTAATTTATTCATACCATATCTATATTCAGCATGAAGATGGGTACAGATATAAGTGACACACTTTGGGTAGGAAAGTACACAAGATGGGAGAGCTGGTGAGAGACTTAAGTTTCTTCCAGGCAGACTGCGATGAGAGCGACATTCTGCAAAAGACCTGCTATATGATGATTGATATCCCGATCTAAACATTCTTGCGGGTGTGAAAACAACCAATAACATTAACTGAGTCTCATAAACAGATCACTACAGACAAGTTGGGAAACTAACATTTACAGGGAACTGGACCTAACAGGAAGTATTGGTCAGGTGGCTTCTCTAGAAGAAAGGGGTAAAGCGTTAAACTTAACTATTTGTTAACATTCTTTGTCTACTACCTGCACAGACAGAGGGGGTGTGTTGTAGTAACTACTACAAACGATTGAAAGAGCTTAATATTCAACACCTTAACAAACCCCTAACATTTCAACAACTGAAGAGAAAAACTTCAACAAGATCAAACAATTTCTTTTTCAACAAATCAACAGTTGCAACGGTTTGTTACAGGAAAAATGGCAATTACCAAACTCATCAACTAAACAAATGTCTTTGACAAATGATTCAAGCAGATCTGTGCTTCAGGGAAAATAAAGAATACTCAATCACCAAACTGCATGAGATGTAATGAAATCAGTAGGGGTACTTTGGGGTGGCTGCTGCCTCATGGGACTGAGGAGCTATGGAAAGGCCTAAAATGCAGTGACATCGACTGCGATAACATGTAATTAAACAATTAAGTTAACAGAAAATGGTCGTCAAGCAGATAGAGCCACCACCTTTCACATGTGGGGATTCAGGTTATCAACTTCAGTGCCGTGTGTTGTTTAAAAAATAGTTAAACTGGACAATTAGTAGGTGCAAATCCCTGGATGTACGAGAGAATGTGGTCTTGTTATTTTGTCGCGAAGAGTTGATACGGGGACCAGAAGTAATGCTGCAATGTTAGATAGATAGATAAGTAGTTGGATTTGTTGATGATTTCTGAATGGACTGAGAGATGAATTTGTGGATATATGAATGAATGAAATAATAAGTCTGTAGACTTATTTATGTAAGTGGATGGATAACATTAAATAAGCAGAGTGATGGATGAGTGAATGGATGGAGAGATAAGTAGGTAAATGTAATCATTGAATGGATATGGGATGAGTGGATCACAGATTTCTGATGTACAAACAGAGGGACAAATGGGTAGAAAGTTGAATAGATAAATGAGTGAATGTATGAACAGTATAGAATAGTGTGTGTGTGTGTGTGTGTGAGAGAGAGTGAGTGAGTGACTGCCTGTGTGTGTGTGTGTGTGTGTGTGTGTGGAGGGGGGCCTTTAAATGCAATCTTGGATGTGGCCAATTTCTGATGCTACAAACAACTTATCCCCTGCAATTTTTATTCTTTGAACTCTTATGCGGACAAGATTCATTTCTGGTAAGAAGAACCATTTCTTGGACCCCTGATGAGTTCTGCTTATCAGATCTGTACTGCATGAACATACACACACACATACGGGCAGGCAGTTGGTACTTGATAGGTACAGTCAGCTAGTGACTAGAGCCCAGATCCAGGGTTTGTGTTGGCAGTATAGAGATCTACATCTCTGCCCCTACCACTCATAAACAGGGACATCAAGTCAGAGCAGCCGGGCACGGAATGAGTCGGCTGCTGTTGTAATCCGCTCTGAAACAACTTTCCGCTGGTGGGGACCACGCCAAGATTGTAATTCAATGTGGCAGATGGAAAGACTGCGGTGGAGGAGCCATGGTGCTGGGCAGTGCCATGGATGTAACTGTGCCCTGAGTTGTGTACCAGCTGGGGGGCATCATGCCCTGAACTGTGAGCTGTCCAGGATGAACAAAGCTCGCCGAGCCTCTGTACTCCTCAAACTGTGAGCTGGGTGGATTATTCACTTGTACAAACTGCGAGGGATACAGGCTGTCCATGTATGGCTTGCTGAAATCTAAAGCCGTTCTGGCATTCAAGTTATGAAGCTGGGGAGGCACATGTCTTCCGGTGGGTGTCTGCAGAGAGATGTGGCTTCCACTGGGTGGCTGCTGAGCCATATGACTCCCAAGGGGTGACTGCTGAAGTAAATAACTGCCATTGGGTGGCTGCTGAGTGTAGAGTCAAGCCACACTCTTGACCTGAAGAAGACAGAAAGAACCTAAGATTAAAAACAGTTTTTAAGGTGAAAGGTTCTGAATTATTGCCCAGTCTCAACTAGCCCTGCAGTGGGAGTGTCTGACTATCTGGCCACACAAATACAAGTACAGAACAGAGAGATCGATTCTGGCCACACAAATACAAGTACAGAACAGAGAGATCGATTCTGGCCACACAAATACAAGTACAGAACAGAGAGATCGATCTGAAGCTGCCAGGAGCCACCCCTCACCTGAGACCAGCGGCTTCACAACCCCACGATGTAACCAGATAAGATCCAGGATCCTCCTCTGTCATATTAACAAGCTATTCTCCCTCACTTACTCGACCTCACTGTAAGCCCTATGAAGCACTCTAGTTTTTTTTTATAAATCTGTGATATCTCCTCTATGCCTTACAGTTTTTTTTCTGGAACAGGTAAAGAGATCTGAAACTACCATGAGACACTTCACCTGCTATCGACCCAAGATCAAGCCATCTGAGGGTAATGCAACTAACCAGAGCCAACAAATACCAGGAATCTCTCTCACCCAAGCAAGCTATCATTCCCCTCCCCTCTGACCTCCATATACACATTCTATTGGTTTAAAAAAAAAATCTGTGTTACCTCTTCCACTAGTACACTGTGTGTGGGGAAAAAAAAGAAGACGTATATACAAAAGCAAAGATATATACATAATTTTCACAAAGAGGAAAAAAACAAAAACAAGGTTGTTTCCTGGAAAGGACAGTGTTTGCAGTGGTAGCTTGGGCAGTGGCACAATCCTGGGGCTGACAAAGCAGTAATCCAGCACTGCAAAATCTAGGGGCTTTAGCATAGCAACAGGCACACACAAAGTCAAACAGTCAGCAATTACGATCAGCAAACCCACCTAGACATGCCTCAGAACCAACCAGACCAGACATGAAAGGCAGAGAAACAAGAGAGAGGTGTGAGCTCTCACCACAAGGAAAGTGAAAACACGATAAGACAGCAAAGAAACCCACCTTGATTCGAGGGGAAGTCAACAAGTCAGTCACAAATGGTTATCCGATGACAGGAAAATGTAGTTAGTGATTTACAAAGGTATCATTAGGTGACAGCAATGTTGAACTTCACGTCTCGGTTCGTTAGGTGGCGCTAGATGTTGCACACGCCTTTGCAACAGAGAAACAAAATGGCCACTGTGCTTGACAGTGTTTTTTTGTTGGAGGGGTGGGGGGGGGGGGGGGGGGGCCAAAAGGGCTGCCTGCAAAGGACATTTACAAAGAAATGCTTCCTGTTTATGCTGACAAATGTTTATCCAGTAAAGCGGTGCACAGCTGAATTAAAAAACATTTTTCTCAGGGATGCTATACGATTGTTGATGAAGTCCCTACTGGTCGCCCTGTTGAGGTTGCAACTGCTCCTTTATGACAGTGCCAGACCACGTACAGCTCGGTTAACTCAGGAGAAAAGAAAATTAACCATCTAGGGTGGGAACTTCTGGAACATCCACCTTACAGCCCCGACTTAACCCCTAGCGATTTCCACCTTTTTTTTCCCCCACTGAATCCCCACCTTGGCGGGAGACATTTTGTGAATGACCCAGAAGTTTAATGCGAAGTGAAAATATGGTTTAAAGAACAGAGCTCGCAGTACTATACTTCCAAACCTTCCACACCAAGATCAAGGCACGCACAGATCTAAACCTGTCCACATCTCTACGCAGCCATCTTATAAATAGGTTCCTAATAACGGGATCTGACCAACGAAGATAGAACTGACACTTCCTTTGAAGTCAGAGTGCATTTTGCAGACAGGCAAGGTACCAACACAAATAAGCCAAATCTGTAAAGGAAGTGCATGTGGGAACACTTAAGTCCTGGAACAAGACCAAAGTCCAGAAGAAGATGAACAACCAGGACTTTCCACCAGAGTTTACAGCTGGTGAACATGAAGAAGATGAACAACCAGGACTTTCCACCAGAGTTTACAGCTGGTGAACATGAAGAAGATGAACAACCAGGACTTTCCACCAGAGTTTACAGCTGGTGAACATGAAGATGATGAACAACCTGGACTTTCCACTAGAGTTTACAGCTGGTGAACATGAAGAAGATGAACAACCAGGATTTTCCACCAGAGTTTACAGCTGGTGAACATGAAGATGATGAACAACCTGGACTTTCCACCAGAGTTTACAGTGGGTGAACATAAAGAAGATGAACAACCTGGACTTTCCACCAGAGTTTACAGTGGGTGAACATGAAGATGATGAACAACCTGGACTTTCCACTAGAGTTTACAGCTGGTGAACATGAAGAAGATGAACAACCAGGACTTTCCACCAGAGTTTACAGTGGTGAACATGAAGAAGATGAACAACCTGGACTTTCCACCAGAGTCTACAGTGGGTGAACATAAAGAAGATGAACAACCAGGACTTTCCACCAGAGTTTACAGTGGGTGAACATAAAGAAGATGAACAACCAGTACTTTCCACCAGAGTTTACAGCTGGTGAACATGAAGAAGATGAACAACCAGGACTTTCCACCAGAGTTTACAGTGGGTGAACATGAAGAAGATGAACAACCTGGACTTTCCACCAGAGTTTACAGTGGGTGAACATAAAGAAGATGAACAACCAGGACTTTCCACCAGAGTTGCTGGTGAACATGAAGATGATGAACAACCTGGACTTTCCACCAGAGTTTACAGCTGGTGAACATGAAGAAGATGAACAACCTGGACTTTCACCAGACCAGAGTTGAAGATGATGACAGCTGGAGTTATACAGCTGAACATGAAGATGATGAACAACCTGGACTTTCCACCAGAGTTTACAGTTGGTGAACATGAAGAAGAAGGAGGGCAGTAATATTATAAATGCTATGAGATAAATGGCCACTGACTTGAACTCTGGCTCTGAGGCAGATATTGCAGGCGCTGAAACTGAGAGGGCAAACTGGCAAACTGCTGTAGGTTTGCACTGTACCCATCCAAATGAAGCCTTCCTCTCACACTCCCCAGGAAAGATGACAAGACTGATGGATCTGGCATGGTTCCCACTCCTGAAGTAGAAGCAGCCAGCTGACCATAGTTTGAGGCAGGCATGTTCCCTAAAGAAGAAATGAGTGTTGTATTTTACTGGTCAGCAAACGTTCCATTTCATTTCACTTCAAGCCCACGGGGTAGTATCTGCTTGGGCTACCATTATCCCGTCTCCTCTTAGCGCTGACTTGAACCAAAACGGCTGCACACAGATAAGCCAGATCTGTCAAATGGATGTACACACTAAACTCAAGTTCTTGAGCAAGACTAAAGTCTGGAGGTGGACAAACAACCAAAGTTTACAGCCTGTCAGTGCAAACAAAGCAGAAGTGCTGATTTATACCAGTGATCTGGTCAAGCCTGAATGCACCCAACTAAAAACAACATGGCTCTAAAAAAAAATAAAAAACACAATTTGGGTTAACATAAAAACAAACTAGCTTCAAACAATTAGACTTTTAACAAAACTAGCTCTAGAACAACATAATGTTTTGTGGGTGGGGGGGGGGGGGGGGACAACTAGGCTCTAAAATAATAATATTACAAAACTTGGCTCTAAACCAATAATATAACATAACACTGCTCTAAACAACATGTTGGCTCAAAAACAACAACAACGTCCATGTACTTCGAACAGTACCTGAGGGCAGCAATGGATTTGAGTGGCTCTGTGTAACTGTTGTTGCTGCTGAGCATCCCTTCTGCCAATCTGGCTGTAAGAGCTGCTGCTGCAAGAGTTGCTGTGGCTGCCTGTTCATTTCTTGACCATAACTTGCCAGAGATAACTGTCCTGTCAGGGCCTGCTGATTGAGGGTCTGTATATAGAGGAAGAACATGAGTTATGAGTTAGATTATCTTCACAGCACACCGGACACATCCATAGGCGCTCAGATTTTCCTCTCAACATATTCATCAGCGTCGTGCGGTTAATAGTACAAGTGCTATGTTGGTTAAGAAGACTTTGTGTGCGTCCAGTGTGCTTCTCGTGCTTGGCTATGCCGATCTTTACTCCCAATTCGCGTATTCTTAACAGTGATGTGGAAACGTTGCTTCCAAAATCCCTGGTACGTCCTATCTCTCTAAGGGCAATGACAATGTCTGCGCGATCCAAGGGCCGGCCATCTTTAATTATTGCAGCACATGCCAGTCTATCAGCTCTCTCATTACCAACAACGTCTGCATGCCTTGGGATGAATATGAAAGTAACTGCACACACAGGAGAATTTTGCAACGACTCAAGCCACTGTCTGCGTAACCAGCCTGCCTCGACCAGCCGGATCATACTGGAGAGGAACAACAACAAGATTACTGTAATAGTTCTGCAGCTGTCCTAGATTACTGTAATAGTTCTGCAGCTGTCCTAGATTACTTCAATAGTTCTGCAGCTGTCCTAGATTACTGTAATAGTTCTGCAGCTGTCCTAGATTACTGTAATAGTTCTGCAGCTGTCATAGATTACTTCAATAGTTCTGCAGCTGTCCTAGATTACTGTAATAGTTCTGCAGCTGTCCTAGATTACTGTGATAGTTCTGCAGCTGTCCTAGATTACTGTAATAGTTCTGCAGCTGTCCTAGATTACTGTAATAGTTCTGCAGCTGTCATAGATTACTGTAATAGTTCTGCAGCTGTCCTAGATTACTGTGATAGTTCTGCAGCTGTCCTAGATTACTGTGATAGTTCTGCAGCTGTCCTAGATTACTGTAATAGTTCTGCAGCTGTCCTAGATTACTGTAATAGTTCTGCAGCTGTCCTAGATTACTGTCGATAGTTCTGCAGCTGTCCTAGATTACTTCGATAGTTCTGCAGCTGTCCTAGATTACTTCGATAGTTCTGCAGCTGTCCTAGATTACTGTAATAGTTCTGCAGCTGTCCTAGATTACTGTAATAGTTCTGCAGCTGTCCTAGATTACTTCGATAGTTCTGCAGCTGTCCTAGATTACTTCGATAGTTCTGCAGCTGTCCTAGATTACTTCGATAGTTCTGCAGCTGTCCTAGATTACTTCGATAGTTCTGCAGCTGTCCTAGATTACTTCGATAGTTCTGATGCAGCTGTCCTAGATTACTGTAGATAGTTCTGCAAGCTGTCCTAGATTACTGTAATAGTTCTGCAGCTGTCCTAGATTACTGCAATAGTTCTGCAGCTGTCCTAGATTACTTCGATAGTTCTGCAGCTGTCCTAGATTACTTCGATAGTTCTGCAGCTGTCCTAGATTACTGTAATAGTTCTGCAGCTGTCCTAGATTACTGTAATAGTTCTGCAGCTGCCCTAGATTACTGTATATTAGTCGCAGCTGTCCTAGATTACTGTAATAGTTCTGCAGCTGTCCTAGGAGATTACTGTAATAGTTCTGACAGCTGTCATAGATTACTGTAATAGTTCTGCAGCTGTCCTAGATTACTGTAATAGTTCTGCAGCTGTCCTAGATTACTGTAATAGTTCTGCAGCTGTCCTAGATTACTTCGATAGTTCTGCAGCTTTCCTAGATTACTGTAATAGTTCTGCAGCTGTCCTAGATTACTGTAATAGTTCTGCAGCTGTCCTAGATTACTGTATTAGTCCTGCAGCTGTTCTAGATTACTTTGGTTCTGCAGCTGTCCTAGATTACTGTAATAGTTCTGCAGCCCTGTCCTAGATTACTGTAATAGTTCTGTCCTAGATGTACTTCGATAGTTCCTGCATCTGTCCTAGATTACTTCGATAGTTCTGCAGCTTCGCTAAGAATTACTTGTAATAGTTCTGCAGCTGTCTAGGATTACTGTAATATGTTTCTGCTCTGCTGCAAGCTGTCACTAGATTACTGTAATAGTTCTGCAGCTGTCCTAGATTACTGTAGATAGTTCTGCAGCTGTCCTAGATTACTGTGATACTTCTGCAGCTGTTCTACAAACCCATCATCATCATCATGTTTCGCACCGGTAAGCGTAGGAGGTCATGTTTTGCCATCTCCCACAATCACCAGAGTCACAGATCAGTTCAATGTTTTTGACTCACCCCATCCATCTGGCCAGGTCATCCAGGTATTTATCTCTGTGCTTTCCTTTTTCTCTCTTTCCATCAACCGTGCCAGTTGTTACCAAGTTGTCGAGCACGTTTCTCCTCATAACATTTCCAAGAGACACTGACTGTCTTTGTCCAGTTGTTCTAATAAGTTTACGACTTTCATATCTCGAAGAGGACTGCTCCATTTGTTTTATATCTTTCAGTGATAGTCTTTGCAGGTTCTACATAACATTTTAACAAATTCTTATTAAGCTACAAACCACACAAACTGGCTATGGAAAAAGGACCCCACCATTGTTGCAATGAGTTTTTCATTACTTTTTGATTGACATTTGAATAAAAGAGCGCTATGGTCAACATGACATCAGCCCTGTTTACTTTACATATTTCCTGGTACTTATATAAGGCCCAGGTGACCTGTGAGCCCTACAGGAGTTTGGGTTTGGTGCTCAATGTGTCAGCGTAGCGAAAACAATCCTTTTGAAACAAAAGAGTACAGCCTAACACCAAAGTACAGTAAAACACTAGAGTACTGTACAAACCTTACAGTACAGTACAAACAATAACGTGCCATTCACACACTAGAGTACAGTACAAACACTAGTGTACAGTCACCTTCCACTTTTACCTCTGCCTACATACAGTCCGTCTTTCCCTTACACAGTTGCCTTTCACACAGTGCCAGGCAAACACTACAGTTCAGTACAAACACTCAAGTGCCAGGCAAACACTACAGTTCAGTACAAACACTCAAGTGCCAGGCAAACACTACAGTTCAGTACAAACACCAATAGGGAAATTGCCAGGCAAACACTACAGTTCAGTACAAACACTCAAGTGCCAGGCAAACACTACAGTTCAGTACAAACACTTCAAGTGCAGGCAAAACACTTACAGTTCAGTACAAACACTCAAAGTGCCAGGCAAAACACTACAGTTCAGTACCAAAACACTACAGTTTCAGATACAAACACTCAAGTGCCAGGCAAACACTACAGTTCAGTACAAACCCATCTCAAGTGCCAGGCAAACACTACAGTTCAGTACAAACACTCAAGTGCCAGGCAAACACTACAGTTCAGTACAAACACTCAAGTGCCAGGCAAACACTACAGTTCAGTACAAACACTCAAGTGCCAGGCAAACACTACAGTTCAGTACAAACACTCAAGTGCCAGGCAAACACTACAGTTAAGTACAAACACTACAGTTCAGTACAAACACTCAAGTGCCAGGCAAACACTACAGTTCAGTACAAACACTCAAGTGCCAGGCAAACACTACAGTTCAGTACAAACACTCAAGTGCCAGGCAAACACTACAGTTAAGTACAAACACTCAAGTGCCAGGCAGAATACTACAGTTTCAGTACAAAACACTCAAGTGCCAGGCAAACACTACAGTTCTAGTACAACACACTCAAGTCGCCAGGCAAACACTTACAGTTCAGTACAAAACCCAAGCGCCAGGCCAAACACTACAGTTTCAGTACAAACACACTCAAAGTGCCAGGCGCAAACACTACAGTTCATGTAACAAACACTCAAGTGCAAGGCAAACACTTACAGTTTCAGTACAAAACACTCAAGTGCCGACAGCAAACACTACAGTTCAGTACAACCACTCAAGTGCCAGGCAAACACTACAGTTTCAGTACCAAACACTCAAGCTTGACAGGCAAACACACAGTCAGTATAAAAACACTCAAGTGCCAGGCAAACACTACAGTTCAGTATGCAAACACTCAAGTGCCAGGCAAACACTACAGTTCAGTACAAACACTCAACGTCGCCAGGCAAACACTACAGTTCAGTACAAACACTCAAGTGCCAGGCAAACACTACAGTTCAGTACAAACACTCAAGTGCCAGGCAAACACTACAGTTCAGTACAAACACTCAAGTGCCAGGCAAAACACTACAGTCAGTACAAACAATCAAGTGCCAGGCAAACACTACAGTTCAGTACAAACACTCAAGTCCAAGGCACAACACTACAGTTCAGTACAAACAATCAAGTGCCAGGCAAACACTACAGTTAAGTTACAAACACTCAAGTGCCAGGCAAACACTACCAGTATCAGTACAAACACTCAAGTGCAAGGCAAAAACACTACAGTTCAGTACAAACACTTCAAGTGCCAGGCAAACACTACAGTTCAGTACAAAACACTCAAGTGCCAGGCAAAACAATACAGTTCAGTACAAAAACACTCAACGTGCCAGGCAAACCCTACAGTTCAGTACAAACACTCAAGTGCCAGGCAAACACTACAGTTCAGTACAAACACTCAAGTGCCAGGCAAACACTACAGTTCAGTACAAACACTCAAGTGCCATGAAACCACTATAGTACACAGTTTAAACACTATAGTGCCATAAAAACACTATAAAAAAAAAGTAAAGATCCCTTTTCACGCCTTTCGGCGCATCGGGCATATGGGCAGAGCGTCCCATATTTTTACAGACCATCAGCACTCTGTGGGTAATGTGGTCAGCATTACGCCGGCTGTCTTTACTTTCCCAGGACAAAAACACTATAGTACAGTATAAACCCTAAAGTGCCATGCAAACATTATAGTACAGTACAAACACTAAAGTGCCATGCAACCACTATAGTACAGTACAAACACTAAAGTGCCATGCAAACACTATAGCACAGTACAAACACTAAAAGTGCCATACAAACACTATAGCACAGTACAAACACTAAAAGTGCCATACAAACACTATAGCACAGTACAAACACTAAAAGTGC